AATGAGACTTTTGTTCCTGCTGAACACGGATCGGGTACCGTCTAAAAAAAAAAAAAAAAAAAAATTCCGTCCACTGAATATGTATCAGATATGTTTACATCTGATCAGTAGCGTCCCGAGGCAGGTGCAGCCTGCACCAGGTGACACCGACCGCATGAGGTGACACCGGACCCGCTCCACGAAAAGGTAAGTTGTAAAGCAAGCCGACGATCCCCGTAGGATGAATCCGATCCATTATGCTCAATCCGCAGATCTGATCCATCCTGCAGGGATCGTCGGCTTTCTTTACAACTTACCTTTTGTGGAGCGGGTCTGGTGTCACCCCCGTATAGGTTGCATGCTGACGATCCCGGAAGGATGGATGGGATCTGCGGACTGGGGAGCATAATGGATCGGACTCCGATCCATTAGGCTCAATCCGCAGATCCGAACCATCCTGCGGGGATGTCAGCATGCAACCTATACGAGGTGACACCGGACCTGCTCCACAAAAAGGTAAGTTGTATAGAAAGCCGACGATCACCGCAGGATGGATCAGATCTGGAGATTGAGCATAATGGATCGGACTCCGATCCATTATGCTCAATCTGCAGATCCGATCCATTCTGCGGGGATCATCGGAGGGGGTGTTACCAAGTGTTACCCGCACCGGGTGACACCAACCCTTGGGACGCCCCTGCATCTGATGCTCCCAGCAAGTCTGCTACATCACGAAGGGCCGCAGATCTTTCGTGGGTCAGGAGAATAGCCAGACAGCTGCGGCGACACTGACACTACAGGCTCTGCAGAGCCACCAGCTCCCCTGGCTGGAGAACCGAAGACCCTGACAAAAAGGCCTCCAATATCAGTCAGCCCGGCCAGACCCCTACCCAGCAGCAGAAATGACCCGGGAAGAGAGTAAACACTCCTCTGAGTTATTATTCAGTAAAGTGAGTTGTACCGCTAGCAAAGCAGCAGCATTTTTTTTTTCCCTGATGAAAGCTTAATTTTGAAGTAGACCTGTCACTGAATGTTTTCAATCAGCCATCTTGTAAGTAAAGCCAAATATTCAGCTAATCAATGTGTTCCCCAGGGATGCCATTGATTATAAAGAGCCGATAGGCTGGCTTGGTTTACAATGCGGCTGCACTGCAATCACTGCACACTTACAGTTGATCTACTCACAGTGAATTCAATGGGGAATACAGCACTTGACGTTTGGGTGTCGGGGCTGGAAATGAGGGGACATCTTCCCAGCAATCCAAACCTGAGAGGTTTTTAGTTTTCCTCACTTTTCTGGGAAAAAATTCTGGAGCTCCCCCCCAATATTCAAATGGTAGTAGAAGGTACTTACAGGGGACATCTTCCCAGCAATTCCAACCTGAGAGGTTTTAACTTTTCCCCACTTTATCTGGGAAACAAAATTCTGGAGTTTCCCCTCCCCCAATATTAAAATGGTAGTAGAAGGTAGTTACAGGGGATATCTTCCCAGCAATTCCAACCTGAGAGGTTTTAACTCTTCCCCACTTTATCAGGGAAAAAATTCTGGAGTCCCCCCCCCCCCCCCCCCAATATTCAAATGTTAGTAGGAAGGTAGTTACATGGGACATCTTCCCAGCAATTCAAAACTGAGAGGTTTTAACTTTTCCGGGAAAAAATTCTGGAGTTCCCCCCCAATATTTAAATGGTAGTAGAAGGTACTTACAGGGGACGTCTTCTCAGCAATTCAAACCTGAGGGGTTTTAACTTTTCCCCACTTTATCTGGAAAAAATTATGGAGTCCCCCCCCCCCCCCCCAATATTCAAATGGTAGTAGAAGGTAGTTACATGGGACATCTTCCCAGCAATTCAAAACTGAGAGGTTTTAAATTTTCACTGCTTTATCTGGAAAAAAAAAAATCTAGAGTCCCCCCCCCCCCCCCCCCCATATTCAAATGGTAGTAGAAGGTAGTTATTTTATTTCCAGACACCTCAAGCCTAATTCTTGGTGTGGCCGCCGATAATCATCACCCTCTAGGCGCTCCACTCCCCCATCACATCCATCGTCCGACATACTGTGACCACATCGCACATTACAGCGTCAAACACAAAACTTGCATCGCACCTACATTAAACACTTGTATAGTCCTTCACATTCCTCCAGCACGCTCTGGGTTTAAAGGACACAATTCGCCTGTCCTCGCTTCAATCCCAGCTGCCTAAAGGACATTATAAGTACTAGAGGAAATCTCTCCGAATGCTGCAGAAACCAAAACAAAATCTGAATGTATCAGCCATCCATCGCTGCAGACAAAACGATTATGAACACTTTCTCCGTCATCAACAAAAATATAAAACAATGCTTGTACTTTCTGAAAACAAATGTCAAACGTAAATAAAGAAGATCCAACTTCTCTTTACGTTGTGAGCCAGACATTGCCACGACATAACACGTTTAGTGATAGAACACCTTCCAAGTCCTTCCAATGAGCTCCAACAGACACTATAGGGCACCCAGAACTCTTCCTGCCAACACCGAAACTTAATTCTACGAGCAGCAGCTGAAGTTGTCTTCTGTGCCGTTCAAATGTTCAGAAGAATGAAGCCATTAGCTTCAACTATGTACATCAAGTCAGCAATTTATGGACTGCATTCAAGTGACAGTCGATTCAGCTACAAGATCATACGGGACAGATAGGGCGCTATGAAATGTGGCAGACCCTATATAAGAATGGAGCTGCTACCTGTAGCAATCAGATTCTTTGGGCGTCTAGAGGCAATATGCTACCACATTTATACATCAGGCCTGCAATGTCTTGCCAATGAATACCGCACAGGAAAAAAAAAAAAAAAAAAAATATGCAGAGTGACCTCAAAGGTGGAAAAAGCCCTCCGAATCACCAGTCACTCCCACACAACACAATATAAACTGGAAGCTAAATATACAGAAATGAGCCTACATTAAAAGGGATCTGCCTTCGTCATATCAGGCAGGACAAACGTTTGAGTTTCTATAGGATACTCCTCAGCAGCTAGGAAAGAGAAGAAAATATTGCACTTTGAAACACTGGTGTCCCCGTGACACAAAGATGGCTGCAGCCTGACCAGAACAAATTGAATGATGGCATACTAAATACTTACATTAAAAAGCACCAGTCACAAATACTGACTGATCCTTTATTAGAATTGTGCAGGCTATTATTGCCCGCTCACCCCCGGTTCACATCTATGCGGGCCGCGTTTTGCACGGGCATGAGAGCCCATTTATTTGAATGGACTCCCGTACCCGTGACAAGCAGGGAAAGAAGTCCCTACACTTCTTTAGAAGACGCAGCCCGAGATTCCCAGTATGGTTACGTTTTCAAGTGCGGGCGGCGTGCCATTAGAACTAATGGCACCTGCCCGCGGGTCCGCATTTCTCTGTGCGGGTGGTGCGGTTGCACGGATCCGCAGCGGCACCACCCGCACAGATATGAACCTAGGGTTAGCCTCGCTTTGACGCAGGATGACAGTTTTGGTGGGGCATTATACAAGTAAGCAGAACAATATCTGACAACCAATCGGTGTTTACAGTACTCTTAATTGTGCAGCTTTGTTATTTGAGACAGATATTGCTTTATGTAGATAAAAGGAAGCCAGCAGCTCGATCTTCTGCAACAAATGAGTTCATTAATCCAGATGTGCTACAAAATACTACAGGGCGTACGCGTTTCGGCTGGTAGCCTTAGTCATCACATTGACCAAGGCTACGCACCAAAACACGCAAGACCTGTATTCTTTTGTACCACAAACTCATGCATTGCGGAAGATGGAGCTGCAGGTTTCCTTTTATGTATATGATTGCTCGGCTGCTAGGAGGACACGATTAGCCAGTGCACCGACCGCTCACCACCTCGGGAATTACAACAGATATTTTCTACTATATTGAAGATATTGCTTTATACAGAAACTTGCCGCCAGCAAGATCCTGCATAAAAAGTTGTCCGCGCACATGTGATGTGTACATGGGTACACTGTACATGGACCCTATTGGGCACTGCTGCTGCTCAGGGCCGACATATAGCCATCAACAATGTGTAGCTGGCTGGCCAGGTCAAGCCCTCATAAGCCTGCTCTTTATAATTTAAGGATGAATGTGGCAATTCTTCTCCAAGCATAGTCTTGGCTTGCTCTTTGTAAACCTTTAGGCCCGAGTGGAAAATATTCTGACTTTGCTGGCCTAATGGTTATGTAAGAAGCACCCGGCAAGCACTCCTGACATTTTTTTAAAGGAAGACAATATAAATATTGAAGAGCACGCATGCTTCACACAAAAAGGCTTCCTCTTACAGTAGGTCCACATCATACAAGGCCGGTAGACACTCTGCATTCAATACCTGCAACCTGAGCTACCTCAAACCACTTAAGGATTACATGGCAAGACACAGAGCTGGGCATGGTTCTAACCCAAAGGCAATAGGCTCCCTTTGTTACATTTTATTGGAGAAGTCATGTCCCCTATAATGCACTCATACTTCACATGCACATACATACATATATATATATAAATAACTACAGACATTGGTGGGGAGAGCAAGAGTCCTTACTACCCGTCAAATGTGCCCGTTACGTGGTTCAGTTCCTCCCGGTACAGCACCAGTGCATGTTGGGAGTCCGTGCACGTCCCAGTGTCTTCACACCTGATAGCTTATTGTTCGGCAGACGTGCCTTAATACTGACAATTCTGACTGCGAATTAAAGCTCTGACAAGATGGCAGAGGAGAGTAAGTGTGCCCCGTCGTAGAGCAAAGAGAGGGGAGGTAAAATAAAACAAAGACATCAAGAGCTGGAGAGGTACCCACAGGAATCAACCATTTCAACAACACCTGAACGGCCTTGCACATTTCAAGAGCCAAATGACGTGCAAAAAAAATAAAATAAAAAGGAGGCTGCACATCAGAGTCCCCTGAAGCCCGATGGATCTGGGGGCGGCTTATTGTCTGCTCCAAGCCCTGGGGACACGCAGCAGAAATCGAGAGGTGTTAGTGTTTTTCTTATAGTCCTGGGATTCGAAGATTTTGAGGCGCTCCTGGACCGTCAGCCCCTCCTTCAGGCTCTGTGTGGAGAAGAGAGGAGAGAGACCATGGGTGAGATGAGAGGAACTGGATTGCTGGACATTAATATAAGATGTAATGTACACACTACACAGAGATTAGTGATGCATGCTGAAGACAGACAGGAGTGTCTTGGTGGGTGAGTCACACATGACAGGTTGGTGAGAGGAACCAGAGTGAATAACCACATTGGAAAGACCAGAGAGGAGGGGGAGCCACAAAATGGGAAGATTTCGGAATATGTAAACTACAGCTAAGTGCGACTGTTGGATACATTACATAAAACATGATGAGCCGTAGCTAATCTTACTGTCTCAACTATTCTACTCCCCTGGTATTGGAATAACAGAGGGCACCAGACTAAGTGCAGTAGTATGAGCACAGTTTTTATTAACCATTTGCCGCCCGCCCTATGGCCGAATGGCGGCCGGCAAATGTCATCAGCGTTCTGGGTGGACGCCATATGGCGTCCTCCCGCACATGCACAGATTGCGCTTCTGCAGAGCCGTGCAGCGGCGCGATCTGTCACCGGCCGTGTACCTCGGACACGGCCGATGACAGATCTGAGTATCGGCCCCCGTTGCCGGTACCATGTGACCTGCTGTGACCAATCACAGCAGGTCACATGACAGTTGTATACAATGGATGGCTTCATTCATGCCATCCATTGTATACTAGTGTTTAGCTGTGAATGGTCACAGCTAATCACATGCACATGTCATGTGATTAGCTGTGGCCAAATCACAGCTAAGCACAAAAAAAACCCCTGAATGAATCGATGTCATTCAGGTAAATGCTTGTGTATAGCAAAGTAATTCTTTGCTATAAGCAAATTGTGTAAAAAAAAAAAAAATACTGATCACTTCCCCAAAGTAGTACAATGTTAATATGGTAACACTGTACTACTTTGGTCATAGTGAAATATGAAAAAAAAAAATTTAATTTAATAAAAAATATATATATTTTTTTTTTTTCATACTGTCACCAGTCAGTGTCCCTGATCACCGCCATGCCAGTTATATGATGACGCTGTACTGCACTGGTGACAGTATGTAAAAAAAAAAAATAGTGAAACAAATTTTTTTAATTTTTTTTCATTTTCCGAAAAATTATGACAAAAAAAAATACAACTTCAAAAAACTCGCCATGCCTCTTATGAAGTACGTCGGACTGTCTACTCTGCAAAAAGGGGACATTTGGGGGATATCTGTACTGTTCTGACATTCTTGGACCTCAAGAAATTAGATTGGCCGTCAGTACTTCAGGATTGATCAATATTCAGATCTATACCATAGTTTGTGAACTCTATAACTTTCCTACAATCTAAATAATACATCCTAATTTGGGTTATTTTCACCAAAGACATGTAGCAGAATACATCTCGGCCTAAATTTATGAAGAACAATTATTTATTTGCAAACTTTTATAACAGAAACAAAAAAAACGTGTGTTTTTTAAAAACATTTTGGCATTTTTTTGTTAATTTAGCAAAAAATAAAAACCCCAGCGGTGATTAAATACCACCAAAAGAAAGCTCTAGTTGTGTGAAGAAAATGATAACATTTTAGTTTGGGTACAATGTTATTTGACCGCGCAATTGTCATTCAAAGTGTGAGAGCGCTGAAATGTGAAAACTGGCCTGGGCAGGAAGGGGGAAAATTGCCCCGTATGGAAGAGGTTAAAGTACAATTGGAAACTCACTTTTAGCTGTAAGAATAAAACATGTCTCCATGATTTCAATTGCTGCTCTCCAGAAAGAGCTCTCATTTATATGGACATGCTTTGTTCTCTCATCTAAAAGTGAGTTCTCCATTCATTTTAATAAAAACTGTGCTCATACTACTGCACTTAGTCTGGTGCCCTCTGCTGTTCCATTTTATTTTCTCAGAGGTCTTTTCACTCTGAGGAGCAGCTGCTGGTGTTGTGTGGAGCAGGATATAGACTTCATGGTCTCATTTACATGGACTTTCTGGGGTTAACAAGGAAACACTAGCCTTCTCTTAGCAATGTCCTGCAAGTACTCCAGTCAGGCTCCATGAGGTACATAAATGGTCTACACCTATAGCATTCATGCTGTTTTTTTTTTGGTAAAGGTGAGCTATGCCTTTAACCACTTCAAGTCCGGACACTTTCACCCCCTTCCTGTCCAGGCCAATTTTCAGCTTTCAAAGCTATCACATTTTGAATGACAATTGCGCTGCTCATGTAACACTGTACCCATATGAGTTTTTTTTTAGATTTTTTTGAGACAGCTAAAGCTTTATTTTGGTGGTATTTATTCACCACTGGGATTTTTATTTTTTTTGCTATGTAAATGAGTCCAAAAAGTCCAACAATTTTGAAAAAAAGTGTTTTTCTTATAACATTTTGCAAACAAATAATATTTCATCATAAATCTTGGCCAAAATTTATTCTGTTATCTTTTAAGTAAAAAAAAAAGAAAATAACCCAAATTAGACACTGTACTACTTGGGGGTGCTGAAGATTTTTTTTTTTTTTTTTTTTACACTGATTGCTTTTACACCCATAAAGGCTGTAAAAGCAATAATTTCTCCCTCTCCCTGGCTGCATTCTTGCAGCAACTGAGAAATACTGCGAGAGCTGTGATTGGTCACAGCTTGTCACATGGTACAAGGCTGTTGTGAATAGCCTTGTACCATGTGACCTCTGTGATCAGAAGAAGTGACATCTTATTTTGGTGGTATTTATTCACCGCTGGGATTTTTATTTTTGTTTTGCTATATAAATGAAAGTCCAAAAATTTTGAAAAAAAGTGTTTTTCTTATACAATTTTGCAAATAAATGATCTTTCTCATAAATCTTGGCCAAAATGTATACAGTTATCTTTTTAGTTAAAAAAAAAATAACCCAAATATAATTTTTGGTTAAAAATTATCATTTTTTTTTACATTTTTATTTTTTTAATATTCTTGTTTGGTTTTTTTTTTCATACTGTCACCCTAGCAGTACAGTTTCACCATAGTGACACTGTACTACTTGTGGGTGGTAATGAAGATTTTTTTTTTTTTTACACTGATTGCTTTTACACCCATAAAGGCTGTAAAAGCAATCATTTCTCCTTCTCTCTGGCTGCAATCTTGCAGCCACTGAGAAATACTGTGTGAGCTGTGATTGGTCACAGCTTGTCACATGGTACAAGGCTGTTGTGAATAGCCTTGTACCATGTGACCTCTGTGATCAGAAGAAGTGACATCTTGCTTATTACTCTGCATGTGATCACTGATTGGCCAATCAGTGATCACATGATCGGGACCTCACACAGAGGTCCTGTATGACGATTGGTGTTCCACTGTGTCTGGAGGACACAGCGGGCGCTGCGTGCTCCCAGGGAGCACATACAAGCAGGGGGTGGGAGGCCGTTTATAAACCCGCCCCTGCACTGCCACCATCCGGCCGTTTATATACATGGGCTGGACGGGAGGTGGTTAAGGATTCCTACGGAATGGCGCCACATCCCCGTAGTTTCCCACTGCTAGTAGCTGTATCTGCTTTCACATGCCTAGCCGCCTGCTGGTGAAAGATGGAATTCTGACTCTGGATAGAAACAATTGAGTACGGACGTGATACTTTTTTTATCTGCACTAACATACAATTAGTGCAAATAAAAAAAGCATCGCGTCAGTACTCAATTGTTTCTTTCGCAAGTGCGCTAATACGGCTACAATCACCTCAAGCACAATGGATGACTCTGGATAGGAAACAGTTTTGTTGCAGGTCAGGTTCCAGCTCACAGCAAAGGCAATGTTTGCTCTGATCTGTATCCAATGAACAAATCTGGAATCAATTCGTAGATCTTTTCTGTTACGCTATTAGGTCAGCTGATCAGGATGCATATCTACTATTGGACAGTTCTTAAAGGACCATGCACAGAGTATTAAAGCACAATAATCCAAGCAGAGCAAACAGAAATCCTCTTGCACTATGTAGGGGAATCACCTTATAGCTGCTGGCACTGGGGTACTGCAATCTATTGAATGCTAAAAATGAGATGCTTATTGCAGGTCTCCTGATACCTTTGCAGTACCGGGTGACCGTGGTGACCCACACAACCTTTTCAGCTATAACACTGTCAGTATTTGAAGTCACAGCAGACTTGACCAGAAAGTCCACAAGCATTACCCCCTTTCTATAAGGAGGAAAAAAAAAGCGCCTCTAAGTGCCATATCTAATGGTATTTATTTGGAAACAATGTAAAAGCACTCACATTGTATTAAAATTAAGAAGGCTCAAGTGAATGGAGTGATAGCCGAATCCTCGCTGCACTGGCCATGTCCGCACTACCGGAGACTACGGATGTCACAGAGAAGCCGGCCGGCATGTGGAGTCTCTGATGATGGTGTCTGGAGTGCACCTTGAAGCGCAACATAGGCGTCAGCGTGATGACGTATGGGAGACCAGCATGCAAAGCGACGCGTTTTGGAGCATGCGCTAAACCACTGAGGGCGGAAGAGCGCTCCCATATCAAGCTGAAGTCTCCGGTAGTGCGCTTTTTTTGCTTCCTTATTCCTACACAGAGCCTGCTACAGCTAGAAGAGCTTGCCCTAGTGCTATATGGACTCATTTATGACATTGGACTTTTATAGATTTATCTTGTACCCCTTGCCAATGGGGTTTGGGGATCTGTATGCGCTGATTTCCTCTGCTTCTAGTGGTTTTGTGTTTTTATTACCTCCTTCCTCCCTGAGCCATTCTTCTATAGAACACCCTTCATGTCATTGTTGGGTTTTTTTTTTCTAAATAAAGGCCATTTGACACTAGAATGGACAGCTGCCGGAGAGCTTTACCTGTCTGCTCCCAACTGCACTAGGGGGCAGTGTGGTGTGCGATTCAGCATATCACACGGCTCTATTTTCTTTTGACAAACTTTATTTGAATTATACAAAATTGTACATTTCATTCATGTTGTTGTACAGAAGCGTGATGCTGTCCCCATACATACAAAACATATCCATCAATTAGTGAAAAAAATAATAAACAGGTGTGCCAAGATATATCATACAGCAGGGCTTGAGAAATTCTTGTGTGGCGAACGGTGAGCACAGATGATGGAGCGGCTGCACCTGCGCTCCAAGCCTCATTGTGAAGCCGAGTTGCGGTTTCCGGCTTCTTCGGCACCGCCAATAAACTGGCAGCGCCGCTGAGGGGGACAGGTGCAGGAGAGGTCTGCTCTCCTCCGCTGAGAGGAGACACCCTCTCCACCACCGCGGGGGACTCTTTTTTTCTTAATGTAAGCTCCCAGGATCAGGGCCCTCCTATCCCTCTTGTATTGAACTGTATTGTTGCTGTACTGTCTCCCGTTATATTGTAAAGCGCTGAGCAAACTGTTGGCGCTCTATAAATCCTGTATATAATAATAATATATAAATCCTGTATAATAATAATATAATAATATATAAATCCTGTATAATAATAATATATATAAATCCTGTATAATAATAATAATATATAAATCCTGTATAATAATATATAAAATCCTGTATAATAATAATAATATATAAATCCTGTATAATAATAATATATAAATCCTGTATAATAATAATAATAATATATAAATCCTGTATAATAATAATAATATATAAATCCTGTATAATAATAATAATAATAATATATAAATCCTGTATAATAATAATAATATATAAATCCTGTATAATAATAATATATAAATCCTGAATAATAATAATAATATATAAATCCTGTATAATATAATAATAATAATATATAAATCCTGTATAATAATAATAATGCCACACTTCTCTAAGGTCTCTGCTGGAGATAAAAAAAATACAACATGTTTACAGTATTCCATGTTTTTTGGCATCAAAATAGGCACTTTTTCTTATGCTATAATTCTGTAAACTAAACTTACATCTTTTAAGAGACTTTAGTTACTAAAGTCTCTTTTTAAAGATGCAGGAGATAAACAAAAAAAAAAAAATACAAAATGTTCACTACAGGTTTAAAGCTGTAAAACGTGATATTTTGATTGCACCCTATTGCTATTATGTTTAAATTGACATAATAAAGCTATGTTATAATTGCAGTTTTTTTTTATATTTTGGACTCTTTATTCTAAAGAAAAAATGTAATTTCATAAGCTTTAAGGGGGCGTGGTTGTGGGCAGGGCTGGGGGCGGGGTTGAAGGGTGAGCTGGTAATGGGGTTGGAGTCAGACCTGGGCAAGGTTGGGTGGGGCAACTGGTGGAAAGTAAGGTTTGTGCCTGACTAGTAGGTCTAGACTCGAAATTTTAAGCTCTGTGCGATTTTAATTATGCAATGCCAAAAAAAGGACAAAAAGTAGTAATTCAACTCAGGAAACTCCTGCAAGATAGGTGCAGTACTGGAAACCCTTCTAGTGATCACCCAGTGCCAGTGAAAAACAATACTAGAGGTAAGCAGCTTACCAGATACATAGACCATTGCATGTTTTTGGGTTGTTCCGGCCACCCTCAGCCAAAAGGTATTGCCAATGCTTCCAGATACAGGATTCGTAATGGCGCTCAGTATCTTTGCTGTTTGTTTCATCATATTCTTTCCTTTAAGATGAAAATGATGACACAAACAGCAAAGAGCCATTACGAATCCTCTATCTGGAAGCATTGGCAAAAGCTTTTGGCTGGGGATGCCTGGAACAACCTAAAAAACGCGGTTAGACCGTTTGCCTCAATAAGCAATGGTCTATGGATCTGGTAAGCTGTTGGCCTCTAGTATATATGTTTTCACTGGCACTGGGTGATCACGAAAAGAGCTTCCAGCACTCCACCTTTCTTGGAGGAATTTCCTGAACTGGACTCACTACTTTTTGTCCTTTTTTGAGATTACATAACTAAAAATAGCACTGTATGATATATCTTGACACACCTGTTTATTATTTTTTTTTTCACTAATTGATGGCTGTGTTTTGTATGTAGCCACTTCGTTTTTCTAGTATACATGTCACTGTAATTGTTTTTTAAGCAGGGTTTAGAGCTGCATTATTATGTATCACTGACATTTTGGACTTGGTATCTGTTTTGGTGTTAGCGTCTGTATTAAGGGGTGGGGTTGTCTTAAGAGGGCAGAGGTTTACTTTACTTTAATTTAACCCTTTTGTAACTGCGCTATGTGCGCTCCAAGATTGCTGCTCCTGTGTCACTTTCCCTGTGGTCCCCTAAACTTCAAAGTTTTAAAAAAAGTAAAACAAAAGTCAAGAAATATTTGCAAAAAAAAAAAAAAAAAAGGCTAGTAGTCAGGGGTCAGATTTGCAACCCGGCCCCATGCTCCAGGTGGCCCGTGTGCCCCTCTGTATGCCTGGATAGGAGGAGCAGCTGCATATAAAGGAACTGATCTCTCCATGTTCCTTCTACAGCCGCTGAATGCCTGCAGGAGGGAGAGGAGGAGAAGCTGGCAATCAGCGGATGCAGGAGGAGCATGGAGAGATTGGTTCCTCTATATGCAGCTGCCCCCTATTCCTATTTTTCAGCTTTTTTTTCTGCAGTCCCACCCAGCTTTTTTTTGGGTCCACCTTGCTCTTTCCTGGCCCCCCTCGTCCTCTGCAGCTCTGCCAGGTTCTCCCCTCTCCTGCCGGCTGCTGAGAGCAATCTGTCAGGATGAAGAGCAGGGAAGGGGTTGGTAAATTTGTCATTTACTGGCACCTTCCTTTTTTTGAATAGACAGTCAGTGATCCGTACTGATCACTGACTATCCATTCATAACTAATACATATTAAACTGGAGGGGGAGCTCTGTACGCAGTTCTTCCTGTCCATTTATTCTGTGATCCTAAAGCTGCAGAGATGGAGATTGAGGGCTGTATCCTCAATCTCCTTTCTCTGTCTCAAAGGTGGAAAATCAGAGGTCTGTTGAGACCCGATATCACACCAAAGCTCCCCAAGGGGGGGGGGGGGTCCTAAAAAAAATCGTATAAAAAGGAAAAAAATTTAAAAATAAAATATAAAAAAATAAAATAAAAAAAAAAACTACTGACACCAGTGGAGGAATTACAAGGGTCACAAACGTCGCACTTGCGACCGGGCCCTGGTGTTCTGCCAATGGGCTCGGAGGGAAGGACCCCCGGCCAAGGGGTTCCTTCACGGTTTCTTGCACCGGGACCCCTAAGGATCTAGTTATGCCACTAATGTTAGCGATGAGAGTTTAATATTACTTTAAGCATCCTTGTTGCTATATGAGGTTTGTTTCAAGTTAGGTTCACATTAAGGGGGCAATGCAGTCCTATTTGAAAATACTACAGGGGTATCTGACATGTCCAGAAGAAGTCCATTTATTCACTTTTCCCAGTTATGGCTCTTCTTTGTTCTAAATAAACAGAGGAATTCAAAAGAGCCCCATGCCACCCCTACAAGAAGCCACGTTTATCTGGAACAAACTGAGCTGATTCTAGATCCCCGGCGCCCCTGCGGTGTATTTCCACTTTTTTTGTGTACAATATATTATTTTGTGGCAAATTCATAATTACATTTTGCTACCATTTTTTTTTTTTTTTTTAACAAAATGAAAACAAAACATATCCTGTATCCACAACTTTATATCATATCTTCTAAATCTGAGAATAATAATCCACTTTAAGGATTATCAGCGGCAAGGAAATCTTGGTACATAACCCCGCTGCGTACAGTGGCCTGTCACACGGAGGACCCCTCTGTTCCCTCAAGAGTTTGTCGTCTGAAAGATTGTGGCTGTGAGAGAGGGGCAGGCTGGACCTCAGCACTTGGGATGGAGAGAAAGTTGTGCATGCACAGTTTGCTGGCCATGGTTTTACCTACATGTCAGGGAACCTGGTACGTGGAACTTGTCAGTTATCCCATGAGACCTGCTCAATTACGGACTGCCAGGGACAAAGGGACACACAGACATAGACAGACAGAGAAAGCGCATGAATCCTGGGTGATCGTGCTGAAACCCAATCCCATTACCCAAACATAACACTGATACAAAAAAAGTGCAGGCCCTTCCTGCATAACCCACATTGCTGACAAACTGCCGAATGGAAAGGGGGGGGGGGGGAGGCGTCAAGCACATATACTTACTAACAAGTAGACATTTATGATCTATACGGGGTGACCAACTGGAGAAATAAAATCACAAGGCTCAGGCAGGGAAAAGGGTGTCACAAATTCAATCATCTTTACAAGGTCAATCTGTACAAATTGTATTGTTACTTAGATCGTGTACAGGCTTTGGATCATGAATCCGATAGCTGAAAGGCTGGCCGTCTAGTAAGGAAGCCTTCGTCGGCTGCGTTCACCACCTCTAGAGAATGTACATAGGTCACCAGAGAGATCCATTCAATGATCTCATTATTTGCTGACACTCCGATGAATGCTAGACATGCCGGGTCCTCCTTGCCACAGTTGAAGAGTCTCAGCTTTCAGCAGAGTCAGTAGGTGGTTGACACCTGGAAAAGTTGTGCAGATCTCAAGATGTGATGAACAGGAGCCTCACTGAAGGATACACACGTTCAGATCCTAGAGCACATCTAAGCACTCACGAGATGCAGGTAAGGAAAGCCATATGATGGGAAAAGGAACAATTTCCCCCAGTCACGCGTTTCCACCAATGGCACCTCCTGGCTGGATTTAAGGAACTAAAGGTTTTTCCCCAGATCCTTAGAATCATCCTAAAAAACTACCTAGAACCCTCCCACCACAGAACTTCTATATGGCTTCCAGATCCTTAGCTCTGCCTACCTTGGACCTGATATTCCGCAGCTGCTGCTGTTAATGCTGGACCTGTCATTCTTCAGGAAATCTGGGTTGCTCTTAGATTTCATGATATCTGCAGCATAAAAATCATGTTTGGTCATGTCAGGGCAGTTGAAGAGAATGAAATGAATGTGCTGTTGCTATGATCTAGTGATATCGGAGAGGCAAAGCGCACAGATCCTTGCCTTCACAGCACTTTTACGAGCGACTCACCATATCCAGACACCGATGCAGTCTCGGGGGTTTTGTCCCCCAGCATCTCGGTGGCTGCTTTCAGCTGCTCCTTCAGCCGGCTGATGTCACATTCGGCCTTGGCCTTTACATTGCTCAGCTCTGTGTAGATGTCTTTGTACTTGTCGCTGGCGTACTTCTTATCCTTGAGGAGAGAAGATTGCAAATGCCACAGTGACCAATAGGAACTGTTATTGTAGAAGAAGAAGGAGACTGCAGGATGTAAGTAGCGGTAAAAGATTATGAGTCATTCGTTTTTGGAAGCACGGTTCCAATTGGAGCAAACACATGATCAGTGACGTGGATAAGGGGGTACCACCAGTCCTCCTGTAAATTGGATGTAGGCAGGGAGAGTGATCAGCATGGCAGAGGGGAATCAATCCCCTGTATGACTCTCTCTGCGGCAGCTGAAAGCGGGCTTCTTCTCTTCTCCCTCCTGCTGGTTTTCATCTGCTGCAGAGAGAGCCATACAGGGGATTGGTTCCACAAATTGTCCTCCCACCCATCAATCTCCCTGTGCACCATACATTTTCCGCTGCTGTCCAGGGCCCCCGTGTGCCCCCCAGTGCTGCCGGCTTCAATTTTTTCCTTCCCAATGGCAGCTGCAAGTACACAATAAGATCCTTCAGCATGGTAAGTGGGGGAAAGGTCTGGTAAATATATCACACCAGCCCCTTTCTTTCCTGAATGAACACAATGAATGATTGGTACACCTATTACTCACCGTGTTTACTCATAACTAAAGCATGGTAAACTTTTTTTTTCTTTTTTGAGGGGGGCTGTGTCAGGTTGGCTGTATGGGGTCCCATGATTTCTAACAGCAGCCCTGCACATGACTACATACATTGCAAAAACAGTTACATTTTAAATTGTCATTATGGAGAGGGGGAGATGTATGTTGCGGTAGTTGCCAATTGTTTGTATAGTTGAATGAATTGGTGCGGGGACGCACTGGATACCTTCAGCTGCCAATGTGCGCTTCCTGTACCTTTACCCTAGGTTCACATATGTGCGGGTGTTGCCGCTTCAGATCCGCACAAGAATCTGTGCAGCTGCACCAGCCGCACAGAAAATTGCGGATCCATGGGGGGGTGCCATTAGTTCTAATGGTGTGCCTCCCGCACTGAAAAATGCAACCGTACTGGGAACCAAGGTTCCTGTGCGGGCTGCGTTTTCCAAAGAAGTGCAGGGATCTTCCCTGCGTGTCCCGGGGCACAGGAGTCCATTCAAATGAATGAGCTCTCGTGCCCATGCAAAATGTGGCCCGCACGGCCGCATAGATGTGAACCGGGGGTTAAGGAGCAGTGGGCACACCTGCCCGTAATCTATCCACTGCTACATGTGCTCCAATTTAGGAGACTCTCAAAATCACAGAATTAGAACCGCAGGTACATTGGGGTGCCTTGACGTGGCCACTGCAGCTTACACATATATTTGCAATTGTGTGCGACAAAACCCCATGTTTTTAATATGAACTGTTAGGGTGTATTCGGTTTTGTTTGCAGGCTAACTGCTAAATAAGCTTGGAATTTTTGTTTGTTCTATTGTCCAGCACAGGAGAAAAGGACAGGGCTGACAACACTTCACTGCAGCAAAGCCATTGTGTTGTCAGATCATACAGGACGTTAGGTGCTCTCTGGATCTCTGGAAGGTCAGTGGGTATTCTGCACGTGCAGCATTTGTAAAAGGAATACAACATGAGATGTGCAAGTATTGCAGAGATGTACTGCGTATGTTCTTTTTGTCAGCATACATACTTTAATTCAAGATAGTTTAAAAAAGTACAGCGCTTAAACCCTGTATGAGCCAATGCCACCTGGTTAGTGATAAAAATGTAAAATATTAGGAAAAAAACAAGTGAAAGTTCTTACCCTTAGAGCTGTCTGCAGCTCATCTTTCAAGGAGCTGATCTCCTGTTTTTGGTACTGGATCTCTGACTCCTTGACCCGTAGAAGGACCTGCACAAGGGATCCAAAATTACACACTGCACGACTTCCACCCTTACAGCATACCGCAAAAAAAAAAAGTGCTTTCACCATAAAGTACAAAAAGAATTCCAGGTAAACAGTAAAATGCAGTTATAAATTCATTCAAAAATCTTCAGCAGAGGCTAAATACCAAGATTTAAAGCAGTATTAGACCCCAAAGCAAACACTTATATTGCAGTTTACTAGTTCTTAGATTTGATGGCTGTAGGACCTATTTTTTTTTTTTACTTTCCTTCTATTTTCATTTGGTGAACCAACCAGCAAGGCTGTAGTTTTTCAACAGCACAAGCTCTCCAGCAAAATGTATTACCGTATTTGCCGGCGTATAAGACGACTTTTTGACCCTTGAAAATCTTCTCAAAAGTCAGGGGTCATCTTATACGCCGGTACACATGTTTAGGGGGGCTGCGGCATTAAGTACAGGGGTTTGCAGGGGCTGATGTCTCTTACCTGGATCCAGTCCCACGACGATCCGGTCCAGGAAGCGCGGCGTCTCCTTCAGTTCGGCCACTGGATGTTCGTGCGGCTGCTCGGCTCCGCCTCCTCACCGGTGATTGGCCGCCAGAACTGTAGCTCAGGAAAGGCACACAGGCGGCCAATCACCGGCGAGGGGGCGGAGCCGAGCGGCCCCGCGAAAATTGAGTGCCGGAGCAGCAGGTAAGTGTTCTGTGTAGAGGTGCTGCTGCAACCACATATGCTGGCTGCAGCAGCACCATACGAGAACAGGGTCAGCAAGTCTCAGTGGGAGGAATAGTGCCCCATCATTGGTGTCACTGATACCAATGATGGGGCACTATTCCTCCCACTGACACCAACGATGGGGCACTATTCCTCTCCCCCCACTGACACCAATGATGGGGCACTATTCCCCCCCCCCCACTGACACCAACGATGGGGCACTATTCCACCCCCCACTGACACCAATGATGGGGCACTATTCCACCCCTCACTGACACCAATGATGGGACACCATTCCTCCCACTGACACCAATGATGGGGCACTATTCCTCCCACTGACACCAATGATGGGGCACTATTCCTGCCACTGATACCAATGATGGGGCACCATTCCTGCCACTGATACCAATGATGGGGCACCTATTCCCCCCACTGATACCAATGATTGGGCACTATTCCTCCCACTGATACCAATGATGGGGCACTATTCCTGCCACTGATACCAATGATGGGGCACTATTCCTCCCACTGACACCAATGATGGGGCACTGTTCCTCCCACTGACACCAATGATGGGGCACTGTTCCTCCCACTGACACCAATGATGGAGCACTATTCCTCCACTGATACTAATGATAGGGCACTATTCCTCCCACTGACACCAATGATGGAGCACTATTCCTCCCACTGACACCAACGATGGGGCACTATTCCTCCCACTGATACCAATGATGGGACACTATTCCTCCCACTGTCACCAATGATGGGGCACTATTCCTCCACTGATACCAATGATGGGGCACTATTCCTGCCACTAATGCCAATGATGGGGCACTATTCCTGCCACTATGATGGGGCACTATTCCTCCCACTGACATCAATGATGGGGCACTATTCCTCCCACTGATACCAATGATGGGGCACTATTCCTCCTCCCACTGATACCAATGATGGGGCACTATTCCTCCCACTGATACCAATGATGGGGCACTATTCCTCCCACTGACATCAATGATGGGGCACTATTCCTCCCACTGATACCAATGATGGGGCACTATTCCTCCCACTGATACCAATGATGAGGCACTATTCCTCCCACTGATACCAATGATGGGGCACTATTCCTCCCACTGACATCAATGATGGGCACTATTCCTCCCACTGGTGTGCATTGGAAGAGGGGTAGTCTTATACGGCGAGTATAGCCCAAACACTACATTTTAGCAGGAAAAGTAGGGGGGGGGTCGTCTTATACGCCGGCAAATACGGTAGTTTACATGGATGAAACACACCCTCTAACACTGGCAGCGGTGATTTAATTATTGATTTTTTATTTATTACATGCACTTGTATAGCGCCGTCAGTTTACGCAGCACTTTACACACACATATACATACAAGAAAGAAGAAAAAGAAGAGGAAGAAAGAAGAAAAAGAAGAAAGTAGAAAAAGAAGAAAAGAAGAAGAATTCCAGTCCGCTATTATATTTGACAGGAAAAAGTATTCCAGTTGCAACAATGTATCTATTTTGTATCCGAATAAAACCATCTATATCCAAAATGGATACATTGTTGCAACCACTATACTTTTTCATGTCAAATATAATAGAGGAGCTCTCTGCAGGGACAGAAGTAATTAAATGCCAGCCGTAGACGGGATGAAAATCGGCCAATTTTTTTTACCGTTGGTGGTAACATCGGCCTATTGAACGACTTATTTTTCGTTTTTCGTTTTTTTTTTTTTAAACGGCCAGTTTTTAACCCATCTATGGCCTGCATTAGTGTGCAAAAGTGTATTTGCGTTGGAATAATAAAATCCCCTCAAATGTTGGAAGTCCTACACGTGTGGATGTTTCTGCGTTATATAACACTATTAGAATACTTCTTCACATTTTAGAGTGGGGTGCCCTTTTAATATTATAGACAGTCTGGACTGTCCATAGATTTTAAAGAGTGCTCCAGACTGTCCATAATTGTTAAAGATGCCTTGACTGAAAAAAGGTTGAGAAACACCGATATACAGTATTAAACTATCAAGGAAGAAATTGTGTGGCTGTCTCTTCAGTTATGGCCAAATGCAAAGAAAAAAAAAATCCTTTTACCTCCAGTTCATAAACGTCCTTCCCCTGGGTTAGGGGCGATACCTCCCCATCTCCTGTTACCAGGTTTCTTAGCCGTGTTATCTCACTGGCCAGGCGGTTATTCAACTCCTACAATGTAATAAAAGAGAACCAGAAATAAGAGTTACAACCCTAAAAGCCTTGAAATGATCAACTGTTCCCCACTGAAACATTCCAGGCACCTGGTTGTGTGCATTCAGCTCTTGGTTCTCTCGCTGACATTGGCGCAAAGCTTGGCGTTCTGCCTCCAGCGCCTGAGCAAGGTGGGCGTTCTCCAGACATTTCTGAGAATATTGCTCTGACAGGACCTCCAGCTCTCTCTGCACAGACTGCAGCTCCTCCCTGTCAAAGAATCAGGGGAAACATTCAACTTTACACAACAACTACACTGCACGCAAAAAGATTATTCAGAAAAACATCCACAGACGTACAACTGGACTCCCATCTCATCCTCTCTCTGATGCAGCTTGCAAGAGCAAAGGCAACACACAGTTTTTATCTCCTTAAAGTAAAACTGTGGACAGGCATTCAAATATTTCTTGACAAGTTTTAAAACAAGCCCTCATCTATGTCTATAGCTGAAGGCACTGTGAAATAATTAATTCTCAAGGTTCACAGCAGAAAGTACTTGGTTTAATTTCAGCAGCTCAGTTCTTTTTGCTCCCCAATACTAGCAGTGATTTTGCAACATGCCATGTAAACACTGAGCAGGTGCACGGGAAAAGGTACAGAGCAGAGTGCTGAGATCACACCTGGACAACTTCAGTACTTCTCTTGTGAACTGTGAGGATGAATTGAAGGTCAGTGAAAAGAAATTAAAGTAGAACTATAGGCAAAACTTTTTTTTCTCACTTTGGATAGAGCAAGGGAGGCATTTTTTTCCTGACATCTATGTCCCAGTGTAGAGATTTTCCTTCACTTCCTGTCTCATAGCCAAACAGGAAGTGAGAGGAAATCCCTGCCAATTACAGGAATTCCTTAGGGATCCCTAGGTCACCAGAACTAGTGTGCAAATTGGATGGTTTCCACTCAAAATTTGGGGTTTTCTTTTACTTTCACTTTCAATGGTAATGGAAAACAGAATAAATAGAGAGGGTAAATCGCTCTAATGGGGGCATAGACTGCAATTAAACCTGACAGGTGTTCTAATCCCTCTCCACTCTATAAAAAAAAAAGTTTTGTCTTTGTTACACTTTAACATTTTTTTAAATATCTGAACATCCACAGTGTGGTTACAGAACGTTTTTAAGACCCCATTCACATTATTATCATGATTTTGACATGCGATTCTGCATGTCACATATGCAAGCCCATTCACTTGAATGGGCTGTCCTATGCACTTTTTTTTGACCAAAAAGATGCTCCTGCTCCTTTTTGTGGTGCCAAGCTTCACTTGGTTTGTGAAGGTGTAGTTTGCTGTGATTGTCACGCCATCCTTTCGCCCAACAATCACATTTGGGGAGCCATTGAAGGATGACACCCAAACGGACGCAGCGCGTTGTGCTGTGATTGCCACTTGATTTGGGAACGCAGGCAGAATTGCAGCACTTCTGCCCACGATCCCAAATCACGAGATGTGAACAGGGCCAAAGTTCTTACAGAACAAGTCTCAGTGGTATCAAAAGGTGAAGTACTTTGTTTTCATGCGACTTACAGGTACTGCCTCCGCAGAGAATCCACATCCGCATTGAGGCTGCTGATTTGGGAGCGCTGAGATTTCTCCAGCTCTTTCTCAAGCTCCTCGCGGTGGGCGTTCTTCATTGCTTCAATGGCTGTAGAAAAGATAACAAAGATCAATGTATTACAAAAGAAAGTACAATATACCAAAGTACTTGTTTGGAACTACTGCTTAGGAAATTAGCCAGCACAAGCGGTATACTATGAACCGGCAGAGTAACAAGAGCTGTACTTTGTGGTGGACTTGGGAAGGTTGTATTTACCTTTGATAGTTACAGGAGTGCTGATGCTTTTGGCTGAAATCCCAGACACACATTTTCTCCTGAATTTATTAGGACACAACACTAAAATCTTCTGCATTATTACATATCCTGCACTCAAAGAAACATTCCATTGAAAATTGGAGTGTATGTAAACCCTGAGATTGACCTAATATTTGCTCCATCTGTTTTTTTTTTTTTACATAAATCATTAAAAGTGTTTTGTTATGTCAGTTTAAGAAGTGCAAAAAATACCTGTTGATTCTGCCTTTCTGCCTGAAATCTAGAGGTGTCCTGACCTTTACCCAGGTTATATGTGAGAATTAAAGAACAACCTCCTGTGCTTGAGTGTGGTGCAAAAGCACTTGAACTCTCCACTTTAATGTCTTATAGGCATAGTGCAAAGCATCTTGCTGCCCCCTCAGGACTGTGGGTATCCTTTCATATACTAGAAAACAACAAAGAGGGTGGTGTGTGTGTGTGTGTGTGTGTGTGTGTGTGTGTGTGTGTGTGTGTGTGTGTGTGTGCGTGCGTGCGTGCGTGCGTGCGTGCGTGCGTGCGTGCGTGCGTGCGTTCACAAACACAGTACATGCACAAGCATATCAAGAACTGCAAATGAGACTCAGCACTCAATGAGTGCTCCACTGATGGAGTGGGAAGACCTCATAATGCCCAAAATGTCTTAGGGAGGTGTGACCATCAAAATGCATAAGCCATTTTGGGGCTCCATGAGGACTTCCCATGCCATCAGTTGAGCAATGTGTCCTTGAAGGTGGTCTCATTTACAATTCTTGACACACTTGTGCATGTCATGTGTTTGAGAGCATTTACTTGCATATATATATATATATATATACATATACACACACACACATATACATACAAATATATACATATATATACACATACAACATACATACAGGTAAAACTCGAAAAATTAGAATATCGTGCAAAAGTTCATTTATTTCAGTAATGCAACTTAAAATGTGAAGCTAATATATGAGAGACTCATTACATGCAAAGCAAAATAGTTCAAGCCGTGATTTGTCATCATTGTGATGATTATGGCTTACAGCTCATGAAAACCCCAAATCCACGATCTCAGAAAATGAGAATATTCCATGCAATCAATAAAACAAGGATTGTACATAGAACAATATCGGAGCTCTGAAAAGTATAAGGATGGGTGTTATATGTGTAAACTACAGAACACTTTTCCTGTATGTTATGAAGAAGAGGGGATGTTCTGAAGTCCTGTTTTTGGGTAACAATGCTGCTTCTCCATAGATACAGTACAGGGAATGAGCCTACAACAGGAAGTGTGTTACTGGCAGGATCACCAGGTGAAAATAAAAGGGGAAACCCTGAAAGAAAATGAATGCGCTACCCTATCCACTACACCTATGCATAGTTAAGCTGCAATACAGTTGTGTTCAAAATAATAGCAGTGTGTTTAAAAAAGTGAGTAATGCTCAAAATCCTAATAGCTTTTATTTCCATACATGTAAATGCATTGGGAACACTGCACAGTCTATTCCAAATCAAAACATGAAGAAATATTTCAAATTTGTTATTTGTTATGTTCAAAAAAATAGCAGTGTCTGGATTTTTCTGTAGAACCTCAAACATTTACTGTATAAACTGAAAAATGCCGGAAGATTTAACTTCCTGCGAATCACTGAACATTCAGTTGTATAACCATGGTTTCTGAAAACTGCTGTACATCTGTGTTGCATGGAGTCGGCCAACTTCTGGTACCTGTAAACAAGTATTCCAGCCCAGGATGATTGCACTACATTCCACAATTCCTCTGCATTTCTTGGTTAGATGTCACCCTACAAGTTTTCTATTGGATTAAGGTCTGGGGATTGGGTGGCCACTCCATAAAGTTAGTTCATTTTGTTGGTCTGGAACCAAGATGTTGTTCTCTTACTGGTGTGTTTGGGGTCGTTGTCTTATTGGAACACCCATTTCAAGGGCATTTCCTCTTCAGCATAAGGCAACATGACCTCTTCAAGTATTCTAATGGATTCAAACTGATCCATGATCCCTGGTATGCAATAAATAGGCCCAACACCGTAGTATGAGAAACATCCCCATATCATGATGCTTGCACCACCATGCTTCACTGTCTTCACAGTGTACTGTGGCTTGAATTCAGTGTTTGGGGGTCGTCTGACAAACTGTCTCCGCCCACTAGACCCAAAAAGCACAATCTTGCTTTCATCAGTCCACAAAATGTTGCGCCATTTCTCTTTAGGCCAGTCAATGTGTTCTTTGGCAAATTGTAACCTCTTCAGCACGTCTTTTCAACAATGGGACCTTGCCTTGCGGGGGCTTCTTGCAGATAGCTTGGCTTCACATAGGCGTCTAATTATTACAGTCCTCACAGGGAACTTTACACCTTCTTTCATCTTCCTGGAGATGATCACTGGCTGAGTCCTTGCCATATTGGCTATTCTTTGATCCACTCGAATGGTAGTTTTCCATTTTCTTCCACGTCTTTCTGGTTTTGGTTGCCATTTTAAAGCATTTGAGATCAATTTAACTAAGCAGCTGATCTGTTTCTGCAGTTCTGTATATATTTTTTTCTCCTCTCCAAGAAATGCACTATACCCAGCATGTAGGGATGCACCGTTATCCGATACGGCATGTGACGGTGCTGATCAGTCAAAAGTCCTCTAATCCGAACTGTCATCGCTGCAAGGAGGGGAAAGAAAGTGGTGGGATTTTGAAATCCTCATCGCTTTCTCTCCTCTCCTACCACTGAGACTCAGCATGGATGCCTGCAGGGAGGTTTCCCGCACCACTCCTATGTGAACTCGGGCTATGACAAGCCAGGGTTCACACAGGAGCAGTGGGGAAACCACATGTGATTTGGACAGGAATCGCATTCTGTTCAAATCGCATGCTATTCTTTGCAGTGCTATTTGCAGCCATAAATGTGAATCACACCGCAAAGTATCGGTAATCGGTATTGGCCAGTCCTTGATGGAAAGCATTGGTACTCGTACTCACTGATACAAAAAAAACTGTATTTGGTGCATCCCTACCAGCTAGTACATTTGCTGCCCTTGTCCTTAAAAAGTGTTACTAAACCCCAGACCCTGCATTCACTATATCTGTCCCTCTCCCCGGACCCCGCATTCACTATATCTGGTCTCCCCGGACCCTGCATTCACTATATCTGGTCTCCCCGGACCCCGCATTCACTATATCTGGTCTCCCCGAACCCCGCATTCACTATATCTGGTCTCCCCGGACCCCGCATTCACTATATCTGGTCTCCCCCGGACCCCGCATTCACTATATCTGGTCTCCCCGGACCCTGCATTCACTATATCCGGTCTCCCCCGGACCCTGCATTCACTATATCCGGTCTCTCCGGACCCTGCATTCACTATATATGGTTTCCCCGGACCCTGCATTCACTATATCCGGTCTCCCCGACCCCTGCATTCACTATATCTGGTCTCCCCGGACCCTGCATTCACTATATCCGGTCTCCCCGGACCCCCGCATTCACTATATCTGGTCTCCCCCGGACCCTGCATTCACTATATCTGGTCTCCCCGGACCCTGCATTCACTATATCCGGTCTCCCTGCATTCACTATATCCGGTCTCCCCGGACCCTGCATTCACTATATCCGGTCTCCCTGCATTCACTATATCCGGTCTCCCCAGACCCTGCATTCACTATATCTGGTTTCCCACAGTACAGAGAACATGGAAATGCAATTATTTTAGTAAATTTAAACTACTAAATCCCTTTTCTCATCAGTAGTATATAGCGGTCTTGTGACTTCTACCAGTGTTCAGCAGAGCACATGTTAAAGCTTGTAGGAGGAGTTTTTTTCTGCTCTATGAGGATGCAGAACCCCTGGCCACTGTCTGGACAGTGCTGATTGTATGTGATCAGCACAGGACCACTCTCCCAAGAAAACAAAAAAAAAAACCTGCCTCTCTAGCAATACACACTAAACTGAGCATGGCTATGGTTCAGTCTTTCTTATCAGGAGATAAGACGTGGACATTTGAACAAGAGGAGAAGCAGAGAAGACAGCCTTAACAAAATGGGGAGGATTAACCCCTTAGGTTCCACAGTGAGTATACCAAGCATGATTTATTGCATATACAGACTGATTTCACTGTTGTGTTTAGTAACACTTCAAATAAGGGCCGCCTGTTTTTTCACAGACTGAATGACCTCACTAATTGAACGCCACACTATTACTTTGAACGCACCCCTTTCAATTAATGATTCCGTTACACGGAATCAGCAGCATGCATGTCATGACTGTTGAGTCTGTTGGATTTCTATTAATGTCTTACACCCACTAGTATATTATTTTCCAGGTAGAGATATAATTTACACACAAAACTGTGATTGATCCCGTTAGTGATGCTGGACAGCTATTATTTTGAACACAACTGTATATTACATGTTTGTTTTTGGGTTTTAGATACACCTTAAAAGGTATTTTTATACCTTGCATTTAAACTTGCTTACTTTGTAAATGGCATGACCTAAGATTAGCATTGGGGCTGTATGTGAGGAACTTTACAGTTTACCTTTGCCAAGTCTGAGCTCTAGTTGACCGAGAGAAAAAACAAATCAGAAAGCTTAAAGCACAGCATCTGTAGCCTCATTTACAAATGGACTCCAGGATCCACGTACCCGAGATGGTGGCCGCAGTCTCTTCTTCCAACAAACGGTCCTTCTCGTCTCGCAGCTTCTCCAGCTCTCGATGGTGTTGCCTCTGGAGGTCCTCAATCTTCTTTTGGTGGGTCTCCTCCATGGCAGCAAAGCCTCTTTCACATGTGGCCTGCAGATGAAGTACCTTTTATAAAAAAAAAATGCTACAGAGCAGCTGAGAGAAACTACGAGTCCTAGACAGAGGAAGAGGAGATGGACAGAAGGATAACTTCATGAGGAAGTCACAGAAACAAACCTATCTGGCAACATGTGACTGGCCAAATAAAGGATTACTGACAGAACGTTTTGTGAAATGCCCCATTTACCCAAAAATGACAATAATATCTTTTGTCAAACTTAATAAGATATCCTGCCTCTCAAAAGGGTGACACCCCCTGTAATAGGCCAAGTACAGAGGAGATCTGAAACCCTGAAGACCCCCAAAAGAAAAAAGATGTCTAGGACATTAAAGAACTTTGATCCAAAGAAAAGATTTGCTGATGTTCATAATATCAGAAGATATCTAAATGTGACCAACATGACATATTCCTAAACTAACGAAAGGCTTCCAATATGCCAATTAGCACTGTCTGTATTCCACGGGATGGGTGCCTTTTGCTGTGTCTATGCATGTCTTTGGCAATGACCTAACGTCTGTGGGGTGCTCAGTGCTGGAACAAGGTCATCTGAAGCCTAGGGCTAACATGCCAAATTACACTCACCCCAAGATGTATGGGCACCCTCCCCCCAAAACATCTGCATGCTTACCCCCTAAGCATAAATTCCCCTTCCTCCCAGTACAAAACCACCCTATCAACACAGATCTCTGAGCCCCCCCCCCCTTCTTCTCTCCCCCCCATATGTCTCCTAAAAACAAAACAAAAAAAAAAATTCTCCCTCCCTGCTCAAATCCTCTAAGCCTCAAATTTCCCCCCAAGCACATATTTTCTCCCACACACTCCAAATCCCCCCTCCCAGCACAAATGTCCGTCCCACAATCTAGCACCCCCCCCCCCCCCAAAAAAAAAGTTCCCTCCCAGCACAGATCTATGAGCCCCCCCCCCCAGCTCAAATCTTCTCTCCCCCCATATGTCTCCTAAACACACAAAAAAAAATTCCCCCTCCTTGCACAAATCCTCTAACCCTCAAATTCCCCCCCCCCAAGCACATATTTTCTCCCACACACTCCAAATCCCCCCTCCCAGCACAAATGTCCCTCCCTCATCCCATGATCTAGCACAACCCCCCCCCCCCCAAAAAAAAAAAATGTTCCCTGCCATCACAAATACCTCCAATCATCCGTAGTACAAATCCCCCCCCCCCCCAAAAAAATGTTCCCTGCCATCACAAATACCTCCAATCATCTGTAGTACAAATCCCCCCCCCAAAAAAGAAAGTCCCTTCCTAGCACAAATCCTTTACCCTCTACCAGATCAACTCCTAGTAGCACACCTCCCCAAATGTATCCTCCTAGAATGATTCTTAACCCCTGCCGCCCCCCAAATTCAACTTTCCAACACAAATTCCCTCTCCCCAATCTCCTTGTGGTGCCCCCCCCCCCCACCTCACATGATACTACATTGCCCAGGGCAGCTGCCCCTCCTGCCCAACCCTTGTCCTGCCCCTGGGGGTGCTTGTTAACACCACCAGCCCAGGCTTTTCTGGAGGAATAGGGATCACACAGGTCATGGAACCTTCTCTGATTGTTGAGGATTAATCTGCAGCATTTCAGCCCTACATTACAAGCTACAAAACTACCAGCTAATGTGATCACTCGTGTTTAAAGAGCTTTGTGACTTGACATTGAAAAGGCCTCTAGTCTAGTCTGTGGGCAATTTAATATGTAAAAACCCCTCACTTCATATTCCTGATATGTGCCTGCTGTTACATTTACTTGTATGAAAAAAACTATCCTGTTCTTTGTGTGAAATCCTGGTGTTCCTGCCACTCCCTCTGCCTTCCTATTAAAAACTGACCACACTAGACTTAAAGCGGTAGTAAACCATGAAAAAAATTTCAAAAAATCTTCTCCCTGGAATCTAAGAGCATAATGTGCTAGTAGGCATCGCCATCAGATTGGCGGGGCCGTGAGGTCGTCACTGTCGCTCATGCATCGCATACTAGCACATTATGAATGACTTACCTGAAAACAAAGCCCTCCAGTGGAGCGCGGTCATGGCTCCCCCCAGGGTTTCCATCTTCACCCGGTCTTCCTGGTTTGCAAGTTGTGGCCATCTGATTGGCGGGGGCCGTGATGTCGTCACTCCCGCGCATGCGTCGCATACTAGCACATGAATGACTTACCTGAAAACAAAGCCCTAGTGGAGCGCTGTCATGGCTCCCCAAGTGCTTCTATCTTCACCCGGTCTTCCTGGTTTGCAAGTTGTGGCCATCTGATTGGCGGGGCCGTGATGTCATCACTCCCGCGCATGCGTCGCATACTAGCACATGAATGACTTACCTGAAAACAAAGCCCTCCAGTGGAGCGCGGTCATGGCTCCCCAAGGTTTCCATCTTCACCCGGTCTTCCTGGTTTGCAAGTTGTGGCCATCTGATTGCCGTGGCTGTGATGTCGTCACTCCCGTGAATGCGCCAAGGGAGTTTCGGCTGCGGCACGCCGTCCATTGAGAGCGCAGTGCGCATGCGCCGGTGACGTGGCGCGTTCTAGAGTAAATATCTCCTACACAGAGATATTTACAGTACCTATAGGTAAGCCTTATTAAAGGCTTACCTGTAGGTAAAATATGAAAAAAGGAGTTTACTTACACTTGAAGAGCACAGTGTGGTCAGTTCTCTAGCTGTGCTGGAAACTCAGCCTGCTCTCCTCTAATGATCAGACTTGTCCTAAATTACCACCCCCCCCCCCCAACCAAGCCACTCACTGGAAAGCTCAGTGCCTTGCTGTTTCTCCTTCCCCACCTCTCTGTACAGCTGAGAACAGAGGAATGTGATCACTTATATAAAAAAAAAGAAAAGAAAAAAGTATTTATAATGTTTTTATAAATCTATACATAAATGTTTTGCCCTTCTTTTCTATTTAAAACTGAATGGGTTGTTTACAAGGTGAAAGTTCACATATACTTTAAAAGAACTGAAGTTCAAAGTTCTGACTGCCAAGATAAAACTCTATTAAGCGATCAGAAGAATGACTTCAATCTGCAAGTGGATTACATTAAAGCTGCACAGCATTTCCCCCTAATTAGCAGAAGAAAATAAACTTTTCGTAGATTAAAATGGGAATGGTGACAAACTGGACCATGGGAGCCATATTGGTTCAGTACAGCGGAGTAGAGGCTGACATGATCTCATCCGCTTCCTTTTTCCTGATAATCGCTAACAGCGTATGAGACTATAGTGTTTTCCTGCCTGTGATTTTTTGTTTTTGATCATTACCTTGCACAAATGTTGCACACTTACAGTATTTTCTGGCGTATAAGAGTACTTTTTATATGTAAAAATATACCCCAATAATTGGGGGTCGTCTTATACGCGGGGTATAAAATGTGAACCTTGAGTTTGTTTGGGTCAAGCTGGCTGGATGTGCAGTAATGTACATACTGTATACCGCGCTGAGCCAAGCTGGATCACAACAAATGTCCCTATGAGAGATGAATCTGTCAGCCCGCTGGATGTGCGGTATATACAGTATACTGAGCCAAGCGGTTTCAAAATGTACCGGTACGTCCCTACGGTAATCAGCCCGCTGGATGTGTGTATATATACACTGGGCCAATTACGGTAAGTGATGTATTCTACTAATGAATACAAAGCCTGCTCGGATTGGCTGAGTCAGAGAGGTGGGCTGATGATGTCACAACCTCAGCCAATCCGAGCAGGCTTTGTATTCATAGATGTCATTCATGAACTTATGATGTCAGAGGATGAACATGAGGATTTTGAAGGATTTTAAGTACCGGTAAGTCATAACCATTTCAATTAAAAAATCTGATGTTTTTAAATGGTGTCGCCTCAGAAGGGGGGTAGTCTTATACGGCGAGTATAGCCCAAAACCTATGTAACTGGAAAATTAGGGGGTCGTCTTATACACCCAGTCGCCTTATACGCCGGAAAATACGGTAGTTTATAATCTCTGTATCATCTGGACGTGGAAGCCAGTAGGAAATGCTGTGACCCTGCCATCCCCTCCTAACCATCATGGTGGCAGACACAAAGAAGTAAAAGCTCTCCTTTAATACGGCTTGTATACAAACTCTAAAGTGTATGTGTGGGCAAACAAAAATAAACAAGTACATTTTTGCAATACATACATATTTCCTTGTAGATCCCTCAAAAAAAAAAAAAAAAAAAAAAAAAAAAAAAGACTTCAAGAACAAAAAAAATACCTGTTGAACTGTCGAAATCCAGACAGCTCCTACCTTGATAGAGCGCCAGAACTACCTACGATGTACTGAGATTGCAGGCTGTGCCCATCATTAGCCCTGTCCAGTTCTCTCTTGCTGGACTACAGAACTTCGTTTCTTCTCATATCCATAACATGAAAAGGAGTGTTCTGCGATTTATCACAATAGAGCCGAGAAAGTCTAAAAACAAAGCTTAGGATTTAATTGCAGCAGAGGCGGAGCACAGAACCGGAAGGTAGAAGCCCACTGGATTTCTAACAGATAAAAAGGGATTTTTCTGTGCTTGTAAGCATCTTTAACCACTTGACCTCTCGGAAGATTAACCCCCCCACCCCTTCCTGGCCATTTTTTTGCCATTTGGCACAGTGTTACTTTAACTGACAATTGCACGGTCATGCAACGCTGTACATAAATAAAATCTGTCATTTTTTTCCCCCACAAATACAGTTTTCTTTTAGTGGTATTTGTCCAGCACTGTTTTTTTTTTTTTTTTTGCGCTATAAACAAAAAAAAATACTGACAAGTTTGAAAAACAAAAACAAAAAAATATTTGTTTTACTTTCTTTCTGCTGTCTAATATATCCAATAATAATAAAAAAAAAATCTAATTTCTTCATAAATTTAGGCCAATATGTATTCTGCTATTTATCTTTCGCAAAAAAAAAAAAACTCAATAAGCGTATATTGAAAAGTTATAGCAACTTCAAATTATGGGATATATACTGAAATTTTGATTTATTTTTAACTAGTAATGGCGGTGATCAGCGACTTATAGCGGGACTATTGCGGCAGACATCTGACTCTGACATTTTGCCGGAGCCAGTGACACTAATACAGTGATCCGTGCTCAAAAATATACACTGTCACTGTACTAATGACACTGGCTGGGAAGGGGTTAAACATCTAGGGCAATCAAAGGGTTAACAGTGTGCCTAACCAGTGCTTATATGTGTAGTGTACTGTTTTAACTTTTGCAGGGAAACAAAATCCAGCACATCGCAGCTGACAGGATACAGCTCTGCTTTATTTACATATGCAGAGCTGTGTGTGGTTGTCTCTCCGATCATCGGGTGGCGGCGGTCATCCATTGGCTGGCACCCGCTAATCAGCTTCTGCTGTCAGAGCGGAGCAGCATGCCCTACCAGGAAGTGCAGAATCATATATATATATATATATATATATATATATATATATATATATATATATATATATATCCCCTCCCTCCTAGATTGTAAGCTCGAAAGAGAAGGGTCCTCAATCCCCTCATGTTTTGCATTGTATTGGTATTGTTCTGTCACATGTTCTGTCCCCTTTTGTAATGTACAGCGCTGAGCGAACTATTGGCGCTTTATAAATACTGTATAATAATAATATATATATGTAATTCTGCAAACAGCAGCTACCCTGCATCAGTAAAGTGGTTGTAAATCCATACATATACCTGGTGAAGTGACTGGCCTCAAGTGATACACCGAGATTAAACAAATCCTCCTACATAAGTTGTACCAGTTTATCTGCAATTTTACAAATTCAGCACTTTGAATGGATTTAGAAAAGCGTGTCTGAAAGTTCAGAAAAAAGGGGGCAGAGAGCCGAATTTCACACTCTGCAGAGCTCAGTAAGGAGAGTTGTGAGATACGATTGGAGGGAAGAGACCCCCCCTCTCACAGGAACAGAGCTGAGGCTGCCAATCAGCTGGAGGTCCCTCCCCTGTCACCATTTTTCTCTTTGTGTCAGGAAAACTTGTCAGACATGACTCATGCTGATAGCGGAGTAATGAGGCAGCAGACAAATAACACTTTAGTTCTCTTAATTGAGACAAGTACACACTATAGAGGGATAGGTTTCATATTTTATGTCTGAGATTTACAACCACTTTAAAGAAATAACATATGACAAAGTTTACATGTATTGTAGAAACGCATGGATTGTTTTTTTGTTTTTTTTAAATTAATTTTGCCTAAACTTCCAGAGCGAAAATAAATTGCTCTCCTTATCAAGTGACCTATTCCATAAGAAGCTCTGAAAAAACACTAAAAAATGCAATTGTCATTGAACTACAGACTAGATCAGCCTTTCTCAACCAGGGGGCCCAGGCATCCTAGGGGTGCCTTGGCAAAATGTCTAAAAATTGCCCAAAACTTGTATACAAGCCAGAGGGTGGAACAAGTCTGTGTTTTAGTTACACAAAGCCACAGGTTTTCATTGTGCACCATTGCAACTGTCTAGCCACCAGCATCCTGACAACCAATGACATCATCAGTTGATAAGGAGGATGTCAGCTGCCTGCACAGCATCCTAGCTTGACCCTCCCCCGCCCCTCTCCATCAGTGCTGGGGTCACATTAGCTGAGTGATGGAGAAAAACTGAGGGAGAAGAGAAACATGGGAATACTAGTCAGTACCAGAGTGCAAAAGTGTATTTGCGTTGGAAGAATAAATCACCTCTAACGTTGGGTGTCCTACATGTGTGGATGTTGCTGCATTATAGAAAACTATTAGAAACATTTTTAATATTTTAGAATGGGGGTGCCTCAAGACTGTCCATGATTTTAAAGGGTGCCTCAAGACTGGCCAAAATTTTAAAGGGTCCCTCGGGACTGTCCATAATTTTAAAGGGTCCCTCGGGACTGTCCATAATTTTAAAGGGTCCCTCGGGACTGTCCATAATTTTAAAGGGTCCCTCGGGACTGTCCATAATTTTAAAGGGTCCCTCGGGACTGTCCATAATTTTAAAGGGTCCCTCGGGACTGTCCATAATTTTAAAGGGTCCCTCGGGACTGTCCATAATTTTAAAGGGTCCCTCGGGACTGTCCATAATTTTAAAGGGTGCCTCAAGACTGTTCAAAATTTTAAAGGGTCCCTCAGGACTGTCTATAATTTTAAAGGGTCCTCGGGACTGTCCATAATTTTAAAGGGCCCTCGGGACTGTCCATAATTTTAAAGGGTGCCTTGACTGATAAAAGGTTGAGAAACAAAGGACATGAGTATTAGGAAAGCTTCAATACTCAAACCCATATATTTATTACATTTTCTTTTATACAAGAAAAAACTTAAAAAAATGTTGACAATACTTGTGGAGTTTCAAGCCAGATGCTTCCCAGGAATATCTAGTCATGTTCGGCTCCAGCAACCACAAAGCATCTGCTTTCCTAAACCTTCCTCTAGCTATGCCATCCAGCAAGAATCATCTCTTCTATTTATGATGAAATGAGGACTCTCTTCTCTATTTCTTTTTCACTCAGAGCTGAACATTCTGGCAAGTGCATCCCCACATCTTCCCAGACGGTCTGAGTCACCGCGTCCTGGGTCGTAAAGTGCATTAGGGACGTCACTATTATTTTTCCGCAGAATAAACCCAAGATTTCAAAGATAAAAAACAGCTGATGAGGTCTGGGGAGCCGGAAAACATAAACAAAGTCTTGGCTCTGGGGACCCAGCTTGCGGAGCTGGTAATGGTTTACTGGAAATTAACTATTTGTCTTCCAAAATATAAAAAGCATGACCAACCAATAACTCCCAATATACGATCACTAAAAGGGGTTAAAGAAAATGTCAGTTTCTTCTTTTATTTTTAAGGGGAGAAACTGTTCAGCCAGTTCAGATATTTTCAAACAAATTGGAAGTGCAGAGATGGAGAATCACAACGCAAGAGGTCCAATATTTCTAAATATTTTTTATATTTAAAGTGGCGCTCCACTCAAAAGGGGAGGATCTGCTTTAAGGCCTCGTCCCCTGCTCCCCGTTAAAGATTGGCATCTTTGGGGAGCGGGTACCCAATTTTGACAGGTACCCGCTCCCACTAGGCGGATCTGGGACACATGACAGGTCCCAGAGGACTACAGGACCATTCACAAGGCGCAGCACTACTCGCGCATGCGCAGTAGGCACACATCTGTGAAACCGCAAGTGCTTACAACCGGGTGTCCACACTTAAGTTGCTGGTGCTGGGGAAAGGGGACGGGCAGTGAAATGGTTGCGTTGAGGACACTGCTGGACCAAGTGACAGGTGAGTGGCTGTTTTTTTTTTTTAAAGTTTTTGTAGCTGCTGAGGTTTTTTTACATTTTGACTTTTTGTAAGTGAGGTCTCCAGAACTGGACACAGTATTCTAAATGAGGTCTAACTAAAGATCTGTACAGGTGAATCAGGACCTCCTGCTGGGGGACCCCTCTAGTGATGCATCCGAGAATTCTATTCGCTTTCCCCACTGCCTGGCCACACTGTTGGCACATTTTGCAATCATCTACAATAAGTACCCCCAAGTCCTTTTCCTCTGTAGTGCTGGCCAACACTGTCCCCCCAATGTTGTACTCTCTCAAGGGATTCTTTTTCCCTAGGTGCATTATTTTACATTTAGAAACGCTGAACTGCAATTCCCACTTTTTTTACCCATCTTCCAGCAATGCCAAATCATGTTCCATGTCACAGACACCTCCAGGGATATCAACCCTAACACACCTTTGTGTCATCAGCAAAGAGACATCCCCTTACCCAACAAACATTTAGTTATATCACTTACATATAGATTAATTAAAACAGGACCTAGTACAGAGCCTTGGAGTACACCACTAGTGACTGGTCCCTGTTCCGAGTGATCCCCATTTACAACCACACTCTGGTATCTATCCTTTAGCCAGCTGCATATCCACTGAACCACCCAAGGGCTATGTCCTAGCTTGCACAACGTTGTATTAGATAATTATGTGGGACTGTATCAAATGCCTTGCTGAAATCAAGATATGCGATGTCCACAGCGCCACCCTGGTCCCAAACATTGGTAATAGTGTCAAAAAATCCAATTAAATTATTCTGACATGATCTGCCCTCGGTAAAGCCATGCTGCTTTGGATCCATGATCCTTCTTTTCAGGAGTGATTCCATTAACTTGACTACAACCGATGTTAAACTCCCTGGCCAGTAATTGTCAGCTTACAGTTAGACAGCTTTTGCCTATTAGGAATGACTATAATCTTGTTACTTTTACATACTGGTGTAAATGGATCAATGCAAGTGGATGTCCATGGGAATGAAACCTGGTCCCTGAGAATCATGACTGTGCTTCACTGCTGCTCATCATCATTGAAAGTCTTGGGGTAAGTTTCTAACTGACTGAAAATCAAGAATTGTGCGAGGCTAAAACCTGCCATATACGGCTCGAATTTTGGCCATGGCTGGCCCCTGTCAGCACCAGCCAGCTTGACAAACCTTGACTAAAAAAAAAAAAGAAAGAAAAAAAAGAAGAAAAAAAAAAATCAAAAGGAGCCAGGCTGAAAATTGTTAACCAAACAGTGACTGCATTCCATAAGTTGCAGTTTGGTAATTTAACCTCCCTAGCGGTCTGATTACGTCCATATTTCTGTGCTGAAAGCGGCACATTTTTTTGCATGGAAATATGTATTTTTTTTATTGTAGGCCTGTAATTTTTAGGAATAACTCACTGAAATCTGTCCGAACAAGAGTCTAGTAAACATCCCGGGTATGATAAAACTTGAAACACGAAATCAGAAATTAGAATTTAACAAATAATCATAAAAAATAATATAATAATAAATTGAATTCAATAATATAATCAAACCAAAAACACTGAAATTTGAAATATAGCGCCAAGTTCGCACATCGCTGAGCAAAGTTGCAGAATCGTTTTCAGTGTCTGATGACGAATTTCCCCCACGAATCATTATCACTCAATTCTGCAAGTGGTTCTGATTTACTATCGCTGTTATCTAGCTGTCTAAAACCGCTTTTGACCTAAAGGGACGCTTTTTGGACACCATGGACTTTTCATGGAAGTTTCCAGGCAGAAAGAACAGTCAAAATGCAGGCAGGGCGCAGGACAAAGCACTCGGGACAAAATGTATGTGAAATGGTTTGATACAGGAATGTTATACTATGTCATATTCATTTATTAGAAAATGACAGTTTCTAAAATTTTTAAATTTGCCGCCCATTCTGGTGCCTGTACGTCCAGACGCTCGCAGGGACTGGAACACGGAAGCCGGATGCCGGCATCGGCCGGAGGAGATGGCTTGGGACGCTGCAGGGGACGCATCGCAGGAGCGAAGGACAAGGTAAGAGCTGCAGGGAATCCCTGAGCAACGCCGCATGGTAAGCCCCAGTGTAGCTCGGGGTTACCGCTTTTGGTACTGAAATTTTACCCCGAGCTACACTCAGGAATACCGCTAGGGGGGTTAAACAGCCACAGCTGCCGGGTGTTCGAACACAGAGAGAAGATCCTTCCAACTGCCCTGTTTAGCATGCATGGCTAGCCTTACCGAATTTGCATCAATATTCATAAAAACAGGGGTGTGAATTGCACTCCCCATTTACAGATGGCCACTAGAAGACTTAAAAAATCTAGATGTAAAATACCATGATCAAAGTTTGAAAATGTAAGCGAGTAAAAGTCTTGTCAAAATATTTAACTTTTTGCGTAATTGTCACAATAAAGATTTATGTATACCCAGTGGACATACAAGATTACCAAACTTTCAAGACATGGGTTCTATAAATATCACTTGAGGCGACAGAAATTAGAAAAGGGTTGAAAGGATTCGTCTGGAGTGTGATTGGACCGATCGCAGGCTTTGACATTCCTGATAAGACAGCAAAGGGCTGGGCCCTCTATTGTGTATGAACCAGTGGAGATCCATGCTCTCATCACTCTTCTCAGCCATCTGATGGGAAGTTCATTAACGCTTTAGAACACAGGAAGGGTTACATTCTCTCTCCCACTGAAATATACATTGCATTTTTCCTTCTACGTGAGAAACTAAACATCTACGCCTCTTCCAAAGAATATAATATATCAATCTGTTATTCTTAGAAATCCATCATTTTAACAAAAAATATTGTTACAACCGACCAAAAGCCTATCCAGACCAATAAAGGCCACTGATGGGTTGATTATTTGACACGGCAAGGAGATAAAATGCTAGAAAAGGTCTGGGAAACTATGGCCGGTGACACATGCTGCAAATGTAAAATTACCGTATTTTTCGCTCCACAAGACACACTTTTTTCCCCCCAAAAAAGGGGGGAAAATGTCAGTGCGTCTTATGGAGCGAATATGGAGCGGCATTTCCACCGCCGGTCCGGTATTTCCACCGCCGCCGTGTCAGAATACCGGGCCGGCCGCTCAGCTCTGCAGCGGGACCTTATGGAGATGACTGCTGACCTTTGGGGAGGTGGGGAGCGGGTACCTGAATTTGACAGGTACCCGCTCTTACTTCCGCGGAGTTGTTCTTTGATCTTACCTGTTCCTCTATCCAGCGGCGCGCTGTCTTCCCGGCTTCTGTAGTGTGAGCACTGGGCATGACAGCCGGGTGCCAAGTGCGCATGCGCAAGAAGCGGTGCTTTTTGTGGATGGTAAGGCGGTACCTGGGACACATGACAGATCACAGAAGCCGCCGGACCAATCACAAAGCGCAAGTGCTTCTCCCTCATATGCGCACTGGGCACCCGGCTGTCATGCCGAGCGCCATTACAGAAGCCGGGAAGACAGCGCGCGGATGGATAGAGGAACAGGTAAGATCAAAGAACAACTCCGCATAAGTAAGATCGGGTACCTGTCAAATTCAGGTACCCGCTCCCCCCCCTCCCCAAAGGTCAGCAGTCATCTCTTGTACTGTCCGCAGTCTCTGGTCATCACCTGTACTATGTCCGCAGTCTCTGGTCATCCCTGTGCTGTCCGCAGTCTCTGGTCATCCCTGTGTGTGTCCGCAGTCTCTGGTCATCTCCTGTACTGTCCGCAGTCTCTGGTCATCTCCTGTACTGTCCGCAGTCTCTGGTCATCTCCTGTACTGTCCGCAGTCTCTGGTCATCTCCTGTACTGTGTCCGCAGTCTCTGGTCATCTCCTGTACTGTCCGCAGTCTCTGGTCATCTCCTGTACTGTGTCCGCAGTCTCTGGTCATCTCCTGTGCTGTACTATGTCTGCATGTCTGCAGTCCATTAGTTCAGAATTTTATTTTTTTCCTGTTTTCTACCTCTAAAACCTAGGTGCGTCTTATGGTCAGGTGCGTCTTATGGAGCGAAAAATACGGTACTTTCCTACTTTCTACAAAAAAATGGTTAACTGATTTTATTCCTTTATTAGGGGAAAGAAATTTTCTTCAGCGTATTCCGAAAAAATCTGGAATGTCAAACACCATTTATATTAGGGACAATTCATTGCTATGATTTTAATAATGCAATCTTATATTAAAGCTTGCTGGATAGCACCAAGGAAGGGACAGATATTCCCGACGAATCATATCTAAATCAGGAAAAAAATTTGCTTGTGAGCATTTCATCATTTTTCAGTCACCGTTGCCTCGTGGCTGGACTAATGCGTGGACCAAAACCTTCATCTGGTTTAATCCCCCTGCATGTATAAAGGAGCTTTAGCAACCAAGAAGACCCCATATATTGTTTTCATGGGAGGGGAGGCTGTAGGGTTTTTCTGAAATTGCACAGCGGGTGTGAGAACGATTAGTTGAGATGTAAATAATTAAATAAAGACTAAAAACCATCATGTTGCAGCTTTCCAATAAGATGGAATTTTGAATTCATTTCTACTGGGAAAAAAAGGAGTGTATTTTGGCATAGACATTTACAGAACTGCTAACTTCAAATACTAGAGCGCTTGCTTCAAAAGAAGAACAAAAATTGACTTTTTCTTCAAGTGAACCTATCACTGATACAAAGGAAGCCAACAGTTTGTTGAATTAATAGGAATCATGCGTCTGCAACAAGAATTGTTTTTGTTTCTACTAAAGCAATTTACGTCTAATTTCAGAGCAAACTCTCACTTTGTTTGCAGGTCTCAACTGGTTTCATATTCTATTTTACATGCAATTTAGAGACAGATTTGTTATTTGTAAGCAATTTGCCTGCTGAATCAGTCACAGTGAACTCTCTATGGAGAGCGATGGAAAAAAAAAAAACGAAAAAAAAACACGAAAAAAAAAAAAGATAAATGCTCATTCGCATTGTAAGTTCCATGGTTGAATTTCATTGCTAAATAAGTGTTTGCAGTTGTGACACGACAGAGAAAAATGGTGGACAGCTGTTATTTGGCTGTGTGATCAAAGCAAAACAACTGTCACTTTGGTTGCAAAATAGAGTCAAAGATTAATGATAACCTGTGTGCATGCAAAAGGCACATGCTAACTACAGATCTGAAATGAAATTGCATGAATTTTTTTTTCCTATTTTGCTTCTGTATTTTTATATATTAGGATATGTACTAATCATTTTGTCTATAAAAGGATACAAAAATATTGCCTAGAAATGTACTCAAGCATTCACTTATTGTATAAATAAAAATATGTGGGGGTAATACTTGGTACTGCTTATAAAAATACATATACATTTGTGCTCAAAAGCTTGCATAGCCTGACAGAAATTGTGAAATGTTGGCATCGATACTGAAAATATGACTGATCATGCCGAAAAAGCTGTCTTTTATTTAAGGATAGTGATCATATCAAGCCATTTATTACCACGTAGTTGTTAACAACAGAAATCACCCAAATGGCACTGATCAATAGTTTACATACCCTGGAATGTTTGACTCTGGTACAGATACACAAAGGTAAAAATAGCAATTAAAGGTAAATTTTCCACATCTGTGACTCTTTAAATTTGCAGTTAGCATCTGTATATAAATAGTCAATGAGTTCATTAGCTCTCACGTGGATGCACTGAACAGGCTAGATACTGAGCCATGGGGAGCAGAAAAGAACTGTCAAAAGAGCCACGTAAAAAGGTAATGGAACGTTATAAAGATGTAAAAGGATGTAAAAAGATATCCAGAGCCTTGAATATGCCAGTTAGTATTGTTCAATCACTTATTAAGAAGTGGAGCATTCAGGGATATCTTGATACCAAGCCAAGGTCAGGTAGAGCAAGAAAAACTGCAGTCACAACTGCCAGAAGACTTGTTTGGGATACAGTGAAAACCCACAGGTAACCTCAGGAGAAATACAGGCTGCTCTGGGGAAAAAAAAAAAGATGGTGTGATTGTTTCAAGGAACACAATATGACGAAACATAAACAAAAATAAGCTGCAAGGTCGAGTAGCCAGAAAGAAGCCAATGCCAAAAAAAAAAAGCCCAGTTACAATATTCCAGAGAACACCTTGACACACCTCACAGCTTCTGGCACACTGTAATCTGGAGTGACAAGACCAAAATAGAGCTTTATGGTCACAACTAAAAGCATTATGTCTGGAGTGAGGCCAACAAGACCTATAACGACAAGAATACCATCCCCACTGTGAAGCATGGTGGTGGCTCACTGATGTTTTGGGGGTGTGTGAGATCTAAAGGCACAGAGAATCTTCTGAAAACTGATGGCAAGATGAAGGCAGAATTTGCATTTTTCTGCATGAAAAGCAGCACATGGGATGCTCTTGGACTTTCCAGCATGTCAATGACCCAAGTTGACCCTCCATTAGTAACAGCAAAAAAAGGTGAAGGTTCTGGAGTGGCCATCACAATCTCCTGACCTTAATATCATCAAGCAACTCTGTGGAGATCTCACATGTGCGGTTCATGCAAAACACCCAGAGACTTTGCATGACCAGAGTAATTTTACCAAGACAAATGGGCAGCTATACCACTTGGAAGAATTTGGGGCTTTATAGACAACTATCACAAAAGACTGCATGGTGCCATTAATGATAAAAGAGGGAATACACAGTATTAAGAACTACGGGTGTGCAGACTTTTGAACAGGGGTCGTTTCATTTGTTTACGTGTTCCCAAGTTTTGTTTTAGGATTGTGCCATTCTGTTATGGCCTGCAATTGAATATGAATCCCAATAGAAATAAAATATTTGCTTTGCCTGATCAGTCATGTTTTCTTTAAAAAAATGGTACATACTGAATATTACTAATTCTCCAAGGGTATGCAAACTTAAGCACAACTGTACGAGCTTGAAGAGAGTCACAAAGTAAAATTTACCAAAAAGAAATGTAAAAAAGGATTGAGATAGTATTGTACTTGGACAGGACCTTTAAATTTTCAAAGTCAGCCTGGTATTTCTCTTTTATTGAAGACGTGTTTTCCTCAGGATGTTTCTGCTCGAGTTCTTCCCGCATCATGTTCATCTTAGCTTCCAGTTCTAGAACGCGCCCTTGCAGAATTTTCATGGAGTCTGTGTGGCTTGGTGCGCCTTCAACTCCAGTATCAAGCAAAGCAGAATCTCCAGCCGATTGTGTATATGGGTGCTCTTTCTGATAACTGTCCAGTGTATCTTGCAACTGGTGGATACTACGGGTATATTGTGCCTCCATAGCTCTTATTTCGTTCTGGTGGACGACTTGAAGCTCTTGAATCTGGTCTGGTTGCAACTGCTGCTCTGCAATTAGCAACTGTTCTCTGTGAAACCGTTCTACTTTTTCCATCTCCTGTTCGGAAGCATGTAGTTTAGCCGCTATCTCAGCATGCTCTGCTTTCAGGAGGCTCTCCCTTTCTCCCCACCGTTCCACAAGGTTCTGGATCTCCTTCTTGTAATTGCTGTCAAGCTGTGACAAGGTATCTTTGAATTTAGCTTCAGCTTCCACTATCAACCTCTCTGTGTCCTTGGCTTGAGCAGTTACAGTGTCAGACATGGTCCTTTCTCTTTTTAGGACATCAGACAGCTCATTTTCTTTTTTCTGCAGTATCTCTTGGTACTGTTGATGGACTTTGGCCAAGGCTTCCGAATGAACGCGACACAGGGCCTCCTTGGTCCTTGTGGCCTCGCTTTCATATTCAAGACGTGTTTTACAGGCAGTATAACACAACTGAGCCTGTACAACAGCATCCTGTACAAGAATCAGTGGCAAGTTACAAGAATGAACACAGCTAGAGATCTGCTGGGTAGTTTGCATGAGATCTTTCACTGCTACTTCAAAATCAGCCTGTGGCATAGACATTAGGGCGGAAGAAATTCTCCTCAGTTGTTCTGCATTTTCCTTTAAACAGCAAGAAAGATATTCCTGAAAAGCTAGGTCTGAATGTTTAGAACTGCATGGTTCAGGGACAACATTGAGTTCAGCCTTGGCTTCTTGAAGATCAAGTTCATTTGCCCTCATGCACTTACAGTATGCCTTTGTCTTATGAATGGCCAAGTTAAGCTCAGCTTTTAGTACTGTATTATCTGCCAGTGTTTGAAACAATTCTGAATGGGAAACTAATGAACGCTCCTCAGGAGCCAGTTGCTGTGTATTTCCCACAATAACTCTGCCAAGCTGATCCACCCTATCCCAAAAATCTTTCTCTAGCCTCACTTTTTCAGCAAACTTTTCAACCGAAAGAATGTTGGTAGTCTTTTCAGCACTGTGCACAGACTGGTCTGACATATTTTTTAAGGATTCTGCCATTCTACATATTAAGTTTTCTTGGAAACTAATTCTTTCTAAAACTCTTTGAACGAGATCTTCACGAGGTGCTTCCGAGGGGCAACTGCTATCATCACAGGCAAAATCTGACCAGCCAACTCCTGAAGAGGTGCTCATAAAACTTTGTTCTAAAGAATGAATTGTGTTTGACAAAGATGTTCGAAGACTGCAAAGTGTGGAAGAGTTTAACTGCACAGCATCTACATTATGTAGTTCTTTAAGCATATTCTGACATGTCTGCAAGCAGCAAAAACATTCTTGTTTAGCTTTTTCCATGTGGTACCCATTATGTTTCTCCCGCTCCAGTTCTTCTATCTGCACAGCCATAGAATTAACCTGAGTAATGCTAGACTGAACTTGTTCTTTAAGACCAGCCTCAGCCTTTGCCCATTGATTGTGAAGACCCAGTAAGGTTTCTTGATGAATACTTTTCTCATTTTCCAGTTGAAGAGTAACATCCTTCAGTTTTTCCTCTGTTATGTAAAGTTTGGTTTCCAGAGAGTGGATGATGGACATCAGGCTTTCTATGTCGCTAGCCACCAAAGGCTGATACTGTGAGGAAACCTCAAGAGTGCTTTCTTCAGAAACAGACTGTTCCTGACTCGTGTCAGAGGATGTGCTACTGGTCCAAGTCTTCTCAGAAGAGTCAGAATGAGCATATTTCTGACACTGGATGCTGGAGAATCGTATTTTTTGTCTTTTGGCGCCTATGTCCTGTTCTTTTCCCAAGCATAAATTTTGGTCCACTTGGAATATTTTTGACTGTAGCCCCTCTTGCCCAACTTCCATGACACTGTCTCTTCTTGCCAGTTCACCAAATACATCTTCACCTTCAGCCTGAAGACTCTGCTCCAACTCGGCAATACGCCGCTTTGCAGTTTCCAACTGGATGTAAACATTCTCTATTTCTTTTGCTTGAGGCTCAGAATTCAAATTATAAAGGGCTTTCACGGTTTCTTCCTTAGCCTTTAGTTTTGTTTCGGTTTCTTCCAAGCTGCTCCCCAATGCTGCCATTTTAATAAGTGCTTCATTAATATCTTGGTCTTTCTTTTCTAAGACCTTCCGCTGTGCCTCAGAGACATTGTGCAATTCTTCATCCTTTACCCTGAGACACTCGTGGACCTTTAAAAGCTCCGTTCTTGATTCCTCCAGTAAATTTCTCAGCTGGCTACATTCTGTCTCTTGTAGCGTAAGCCTGGCTTCCAGGCTTGAAATATCAGAAAAAAAACTGACTGATGAGCCATTTCTTCACAAGCTGACTTAAGCTGATCCCTTTCCCTCTCTAGCTCTTTAATGTGTTCTTCAAGCCTGTGAATAGTATGCTCTTTTTCTGCCAATTGTTCTTCAAGGTGGTGAACGAAAATGCTGGCCTCTGTATTGGCATTCAGCTTCTCTTTCTGTAAAACCTCCATCAGTTGTTCCTTCTCCTGCAACATATTTTCATATTCTTCGACTCGATCTTCTGTGTCTCTTCCAGACTGAGTATCAATTGCTGTTTTTCTTTCTCATAACTACCAAGCACTTCCTCATAATTCACCTGAAGCCGCTCTTCAATAAGTATACGAGTTTGTTCACTGGTTTCCAGCTGAGCCTGCAGACCCACAAGTTTGTCTTGCAGCCTTTGGGACTCCTTTTGGTAGTCCTTCTGCAAGGCTTGTTCCATTTCAAGTTCTCGCAGTTTCTGACTTTTCTCCAAAAGTGAAGATTCTACTTCTTTCAACTTTTGCTGGCTGGCTTTGAGCTGGAAACCAAATGCAACCTCATTGTTCTGCCACTCTTCTTGCATTTCTTCGATCTTCTCCTTCTCCAGTTTCAAATCTCCTTTCAGTTTAGCCAAAGCTTGCTCTTTAATGGACAGCTCAGCTGAAGCACTGTTGAGTCTGGCCTGCAAGCTCAATATTTCGCCCTCATGATGCCTGATGGTGTCTCTTGCTTCACCATAGCTATGCTTAAGACTTTGTATCTGATGACTGAGCACCTCCTGACGTTTACATTGTGCCTCCAGTTCGCTCTGAAGGTCCTCGTTGACTTTATGGAGCCTCTGCCAAGCTTCTGATGAGGGATCTGCCAACTCATTCTTAAAGAAATTGATTAAACACTAACATTAGTAACACTCTCATCTGACAAGGCTGAGTGTCACACCTCTGGACAAGCTGGACCATAACAAAACTTCTTGTCCCATTGCTGCTACCTAATATCTTAGATCGAGGCATAAAATTTGGAGGCTGGTTCAAATCATCTGGAGATTGTTTTGCAGGAAAACAAAACAAAGGAAAGGGTAAAAAAATCAAATAAAAACAGAAGAATCTACAGGAAGGGGGTGAAAAATCAATCTAAAATCTAATGACAACCAGTGACAACGAGCAAAGGGAGGTGGCAGCAGAGCAGAGAGGTCATCGTTCAATATTGTTTTCCAAAAACAAAACAATTTTTTGACAAAATCAAACGGTAGGATGAGGCTAAAAGGATGTGAAGGTCCTCTTAGAGAGCATGCAAGGAGGGGAAAACACAAAATAGTTTTGATTTAATTTCTGTTAGAAGAATTTCTACTGTATGCAAAAAGATTAATCACATAAAAACAACAAAAAAAGCACAGTATAAATAAATGCAACAAAATAATAGAATAAAAGAAATACACAAAAGTATTAAAACATAATACAGAGCTTTGGACGTGCAACCGAGTCACAACAAGCGTGCAGACATAAAGGAATTAATCATAAGAGACGGACCAGAGCAGAGCCAGAAGCTGAAGAATTTAGCCTGAACTGCTGAAACCTTTTTTAAATGCTGGTAGGAAAAGCCCACAGATGTGACACTCAGTGAAATATTAGATGTACACCATGCTAAATATGACACCATGCAACATAAGCCACCAAGATGTGTTAGTGAGAAGACCCTTCACCCTAATTATAGGCGTTCAGAGAAGAGAGATCAAGATTTTTTTTTTGTTGTTGTTGTTTAGGTTTATTGCGAAAAAAGAGAAGTCCTACAGAAAGCAAAATCTTTTTCTAAAGGTCTTAAATCTACATTGAGATAACATGAAACATACCAAGGCTTGGGAAGTGGCATTCAGTTTGCCTTCAGCTTTAAGCTGTACAGGAACATAAACTGCAGAACCATCAATAAGGCCAGCTGTCTAAATTTGAGGTTCTACAAACAAGTGGTAAAAACCTTTAAGACAACGTTGGCAAGTATCCTAATACCATGGAAGAAATGGGAAGTTACGGAGCGGGCAAAGGGTTGGCAACTTCCAGAAAACCTACTAGCTATATAAAGCGAAGGCAGCAACTTTGTTGGCTGGATAAAACTTCAGCTTTTCCAGAACCAAGATGCACTGTATATAGAAGGGTCTCAACATAATTACAAGAGTAAAAGATGCAGAGCACCAAGTGAAGAATCAAAAGAATGTCTGAATTTTTAAATTCCCTGTCTTGGCATATTCAAATAAAAGTAGATTTTACAAACTACAAACTTCTGATGGTACACTTGGCGCTCTTCATCTTTTACACTTATATAGTACCAAAGGTTGCTCAGTTTAACCTCTGAACTAACATCAACCTGAACCAAATCCCTAATTAATCTCATTTGAATCAATAGAATTTGCAACAACTAACTCTGATCCAGCACCCCAACATACAAAGTGGCTGCCATCGCTTACTGTAGGCAACAGGTACATTTTAAAATACTACAAATGTACAGTCAAGACCAAATGCAATGGCTCTCCTCCATTTTTTTCCCCATAGAATTCAAATTTATATTAAATAACTTGCATATCCCAGATACTGCTTTACAATTTTGTGCCTCTCTCCCGCTGGGTTCCATCACCTCTTCAGTATTTGCATTTAAAAGTTGCACGAGGCTTGATTATTTTTGATTTGCAAATGAAATAGCTTGAAACTAACGACATCCACGATTCTTTACCCATAGTCCACAGAGCAGACACACAATTATCCTTGTAAATAAAAATTGCAGGTACGTAATTATTGGTATCACTTAGAAGTTAAATATTACCCAGGTTTAGTGATCCTTTAAAACAGACTATCTACTTTATTTAGTATCACAGGTGTGTCTTCAACCTTACGTTGAGTCACTTATCCTATTTGAATGGAGAAAAGTGCTCACTTGGGTCTTAAAATTGAACCTAGAAAAAAAAAACCCATCAAAACTGATCCTAGCTGACCTCCAAGGTAAAAAAAAAAAAAAAAAAAAAAAAATCAAGTCTTGGCATCCTTGGAAGACCAAGGAAACACCCTACTTTTAAAAAAATCAGAAAAGAAGCCAGAAAAAATCTGAAAAGCCACACTGCTTTTGGAAGAATCTCCTTTGGACAAATGAGACAGCATTGGAGCTTTTTTGCCAAGTCACAGCAGCGATATGTTTACAGAAAGAAACCCAATCGTTTTTAGCGATTATCCTCATTGTGCAAGATGGAGGAGGATCCACAATTTTTATAGAGTTGCTTTGCCGCCTCTGGCACCAGGTGCCTTGAATCTGCGCAAAGCCTAATGAAATTAAAAGATTATCTCGGAATTCTGAAGTGATACATAGAAAGTGATGAAAAGCTCCATCTCAGTCCTAAGTCATGACCCAAAACATATCTTAAAGAACGCAAGAATGGTTAAAAAAAAAAAGTAAACACTGGACTGCCATGAGACCTAATCTGAATCTGATAAAACTATGGAAAGATCTAAAACTCAAACGTCGAGAAGAAACCTAAAGACAGCTGGAGCAGTATGCTCAAGAAGAGTGGGACACATTTTCAGTTGAGAAGAGAAGTTTTGCTCAGAGCTACAGAAAGCACTTGAAATTGTGCTACGAAATTTACGGCTAGGGGCACCAATGATTATGCAAAGCAGAGGCGTGGACTATGGAATAAAGAATGGTGGATGCCAGTTATTTGTGTCAGTTTCAACTTATTGAATGTTAAACTGTCATTCTTTGAAATAACAAATATTTTTTGGCCATGACCATACACTTGCTATAGTTACAGCTCCCCAGTAGCACCATAGTGTGGACCATTGCCTTCAAAATCTAAAGGTGTTTTGGGTAAATTGGAAAAAAGGCAAACTGAATACCGCTGTATAGGTATGTATGTAGCATGCAAATTACTATATGTGCTAAGCTAGACTATTCCTACACTATGTTGGACCTGCTCACTGCTAAGAGTGATGTCACTCTAACAATGAACAGAATTATGGGTAGTACAGAGACGTTACTGGTACCTGTAGAATGTATCCGTCAGGGGCACTATGGTGCTGCTCCAAGGCCTCCTTTAGCCTATGCTGCAAGAGGAGGTTTTCTGCCAGGAGATCGGACACTTCCTTACGACTCTGTTCCAGCTGAATAGGCAAAACCAAAGTAACAGTTAACAGGTATTCATGGACCGACAAACTCATTTTATACTCATGTTTTAGCCATCATGTGTGAGGCCTTGTATGACCCTTTCTAAATTAATGGATCTATAAAAAAGGATACAAACATCGTTCTTTTTTAAATTGTTCAGGAACATTTTATTAAAAAGTGCTTAACCACTTCAATACCGGGCACTTCTACCCCCTTCCTGCCCAGGCCAACTTTCAGCTATTAGCCCTGTCACACTTTCAATGACAATTGCTCAGACATGCAACACTGTACCCATATGACATTTTTATCATTTTTTTCACACAAATAGAGCTTTCTTTTTTGTGGTATTTAATCACCACTGAGTTTTTTTTATTTTTTAGCTAAATAAAACACCTGAAACTTTTGAAAGAAAAACGCACTTTTCTTTTTTTTCGGTTATAAAATTTTGCAAATAAATAACTTTCTTCAGAAATCTAGGTCAAAATGTATTCTGCTACATTTCTTTGGTGAAAAATAATAATAATAATTGAATGTATTTTGTTTTCAAATGTTTCTATTTTTTTATAAAATTTTTTCTTTTTTTTTTACTATTTTATTTTTCAACACACTGTGACCAAAGCAATACAATGTTACCACAGTAACATTAAACCACTCTGGGAAGTGATCAGAATTTTTTTTTTTGTTTTTTACATATTATGATTGCGAATACCAATGTATTTCATTGATATTTGCAGTCATTGTTACTGAATTAAATGGATTCATTCAGTCTTTTGTGATTAGCTGTGATTGGGCAAAGCTCACCACATGACACAGATGGGCTGTGATTGGCCCTGTCTGTACCATGTGACTGCCTTGACCAGTCACAGCTAACAAAATAATTGTATACAATGGATGGCATGTCAGGAAGCCATCCATTGTATACAACTGAGATGTGAACTACTGTGATTGGTCACAGCGGTCACATGACACTGGCAACGGGCCGATGTAGTGATATGTCGACAGATCGTGTTGCGTGGCCCCGTGACCAGCTTGTTTTGACAGGATGTCATATGACGCCCAGTCACAACGGCGAGTGTCCCGCCCGGCCGTCAACCTGCTATAGGTCGGGCGGGAAGGTGTTAAAGATCTATGCTCACAACATACACGTTCATTTCAAAACATCAGAATTATAATAGTAATACAAATAATAGTTTTTTTTGACAATCCAATATAAGTATTGCCTATTCTCATGGCACAGTGACTATGTGTGACAGAACTGAAGTAAATATGTGAAGATCTTCACAAAGTAAGTTTACATCGTTCAGATTAGCAGTAGTAGGCTACAAATAATTGAAACACAATGTGGAAATGAATATAAGATTCTACATTCTGACCACAGATATGCCTTAAAGTGCACGTCTGAGCATTATTGAAAGAAAAAAATGCAGTACAATGCACATTTCTCCATTTGCATTCCTTTAAAATTGCTGCAAGAACAAATACCTGCTAATGTGCCAGATATCCAGTGACCTCCTAACTTCATCTTGTGGGCTGACAACACGATCTCTGCTGCACTAAAATTCAGTGCACTGTTCTCAGCCCTCCCTATGATCTTCTTTGCTGAATTATAGAATTCTGTTTGATCCCTAACGCTCTCCACATTCATCATCAACGGATTTATTTCCCAGAAAAACAATGCTGCCTGTTTTTACATCCATGAGCCTGCCCACGTATTGTTTGTAGGGAAACCACTCTTGGGAGATATAGTTCTGGGGGTGTGCCAATGTCAATAGGAACAGACCTCAACAAGAAATTTACAAGCCTTGTGATAATGTCATAGGGTGTAAAAAAAAAAAAAAAAAAAAAAAAAAAAAAATGTTGTTTCTCTTTTTAGAACTTTAGGAATAAAGTAAAAGAAAATGCAAAGCTGGGGTATGCATGGGAGAATGGGGATTCAGGTAAATTTGGGTCATGCATGCGCAAATCTTTAACTCAGTATTAAGAAAATGGATTGTGAGAAGGAGATTACTGTGATATCTTTTCAGCTATTTAATGCCATAATCTCAGTGACATGTACCTGTTTTTCCAAAAGGACGGCGATATCTTCTGGAGGGTATTTTTTGGAAGTGCTCAGTGGCAGTGGAGAGATGGGTATCTGCTTTTCCTCTCGCAGTGGGGTTGTTTCCACCTGCTGCCACCGCTGCTCAATTTCAACATGAACATTTTGGCCGGACATCCATGACATCTGAAGATGCTGGTCCCTTGTCCACCTCCATGTGAGAGCTTTCTTCCCCAGAGGGTTCCTCCAAGGAATCTGAGCTTTCAAATCTTTTCCTGCGTTCTTCCCTTCTCCGAGCCCTCTCTCGTTTCAAGCTCTCCTAGGTCACTCTTTGAGTCTGTGGTGTCGTAACAAGATATGGACTTCAAGGCCTCAGCAGCCTGCGCCCTCTCCTGAGCCAGTGCTTGCTGGATGGGGCGGAATTCAGCCCAGTCGAAGGTTTTGGAGCGCCCTTCTCTCCTGCGCTCTCGTGCCCGGCTCCTCTTTTGCTCCCCATCAGCATCTGAGTATTCAGAATCCTGCTTGTCACTCTGTATGGAACTGGAGACGAATGAAGATGGAGCCTTAATCTTCTCCTCTGGCAGAGAACTATGATAAAATAAAGAAACCAGGTAAGTACACAATTACTACTGAACTGGCCTCATTCACACAAACAGGTGTAACCCAGTAGACCTCAGACAGTGCAGGAAAGTTGCAGCAGACAAGACTTCCAAAAATATAATCATACACATTATATTACAGGTATTTAGTACAAAACCTACAAGGAGGAACCACGAGTTCCAGCTGTTGGTACAGAGGGCATGCTAGGAATTGTAGGAGGAGATTAGCAGCTTCAAAAAAGGATTCCCATGCATGGTTGACATATAGGACTAAGGGAGAAACTTCTGAGTTCATAACTTCACAACACCAGGTTTCAGAGGGATCCACAAAAAGAGGGCAGCACATAAGGAAATACCACCAACAATAAACAACTAAATTCCCCCACCTGCCAAATTTTTTAGCTGATAATAGTAATTTTCTTACGTTGCAGTATTAAAAGCAATTACGTTTTTTTTTTTAAAACGTAAACGAAAGTCAAAGGAAAGATTTTCATCTAGCATAACTGAATGCCAATTCAATTAATTTTCAATTTGCTGAAAAGTTAATCAAATAAGTATAATGTCAATTTTTATGCCGCGCATAAAATGACATAAAAACAATCCTAAAAAGTTTGGTCTCTTACAGCTCTCTGCAACTCCCTTACTGATGGGCCATCCCCTGACAGTTGTGTCTAACCAATGCCTGAAACTGTCCCTGCTTGCTCCAGCAAGTTTTAAAATTACATTTATGGCCTGACCTTTGGCTGTTTTTTGGAGGAGACAGATCAAGACACAAAAACAGCATGGTGTCCAGGTTTGGTACCCAAGGTATTACAAAGGTTGTACCAAACCAGATGCACAGCTTCTATTGGTATAGTACAGTGGTTTCCAAACTGCAGCCCTTTGCTTTCTTCGATCTGGCCCTTGTGGCACTATTTCTCCCACTGATACCAGTGTTGGGGCACTATTCCTCCCACTGATACCAATGAGGGGGCACTATTCCTCCCACTGATACCAATGATGGGGCACTATTCCTCCCACTGATACCAATGATGGGGCACTATTCCTCCCACTGATACCAATGATAGGGCACTATTCCTCCCACTGATACCAATGATAGGGCACTATTTCACCCACTGATACCAATGATGGGGCACTATTCCTCCCACTGATACCAATGATGGGGCACTATTCCTCCCACTGATACCAATGATGGGGCACTATTCCTCCCACTGATACCAATGATGGGTCACTAATCCTCCCACTGATACCAACGATGGGGTACTATTCTTCCCACTGATACCAATGATGGGTCACTAATCCTCCCACTGATACCAACGATGGGGTACTAATCCTCCCACTGATACCAATGATGGGGCTCTATTCTTCCTACTGATACCAATGATGGATCATTGATTACTTCCAGTGGGTGAAATAGTGCCCCACTGATTCACATATACAGATGATGGGAGCCGGCATCCTAACATCATCAATTCAGAGCAAAAAAGATAGGGAAGACAGACGCCACATTGACCTCACAAGTGTGAGTAGCTTTGTGGGCCTCAGCTGCTGCTCCAGCCACGCCCCTAATGCATTTCACCCCGCCCACCGGGGCTTGGTCACAGAGGTGGAGAAGACTGACAGAGTTGCTGGATTAATCTGCATCACCGGCTGTGATCAGTGATCATTACCATGTGTGTGTATGTGATTAATTAAAAGAAACATGATAAAAAGAATGATAAGAAGGCTGAGATAAATACAAGAATAAACAGAAATGTAATGTACACATAAAAAACGATGTATGTGGAAAGTTGAAAAATGAAATATTAGAAATGAAAAACGTTGTCCTGGATGATGTCCCTGGACAACAGAGAATTTGTTATATTAATACTTTATGATTTTTTTACTCTCATGACATCTCATTCACACGGCCACCTATATTCTAGATTTCTTGTACAGCTTAATTTGACTTATTTTTCCACATCAATTTTTTCCCCATACTTTTTCATTCTTATTTTCAATTCTATTCTCATTATTATTTCATTTTTCAACTTTCCACATACATAATTGTTACCCACTTTGCATGTCACATTTCTGTTTATTAATTTCTTATTTATCTCAGCCTTCTTATTCTTTTAATTCATGTTAATTCATTCTCTGTGACCAAGCCCCCCATGGGCGGGGCAAAATGCATCAGAGGGTGTGGCTGGAGCGGCAGCTCAGACCAACACTACTACTCACACTGGGAAGGTCGATGTGGCGTCTGTCTCCTCCACTGAAGTGAAGAGTTTGGCTAAAGAATTTGAAATATAGAACTAGTTAAGCATTAGAAACTTCTCCATAAGGGTGAAGAGGTCCAACACCGAAGGACACTAGCAAAAAAACAAATCTGAGGTCTCATGGCGTGGGGTAGGGTTATAGGGGTACGCCCAATGGGGAGTGTCGAAAAGCTTTGCCTGTGTCTAATTACCTGAGGTAGCAGTCTATAACTCAGGCTTTATGAATATTCAGCCTGTTTCTTGTACTGTATAGTGAAGATAAGATTACTTCCAGGCCTGTGACAATTGTTGGTAGAGAGAAGAGAATACCCCCAGTTGTCAGGTTATTGGACAGGAAGAATGTAGTTTTTGTTGGTCAATTTCTATTGTTTCCACTGAGGTTGGCACCTATTACTTTAACCCCTTGACACCGGCGTCACACAAATATGCGGCCTCACAGGACCGGCCTTTTTTCCGTGGGGCCGCATATCTGTCTTTCCCAGCACAAAGACCGGGGTGTCATTGAGAGCCCCAGGTCCCATTCTAATGATCGGAACCCTGGACTCCCGATTCCGGGTCACATGATCACTGTGATAGCCTCTGATTGGCTATCACAGTGATCAGACACTGTACAGCCCGGCCCCCTTGGTTTCTTTTTTCGATGAATGGAGGAGAGAGATACATTGCATCTATCTAACTCCTGGCATAGAGGGGAAAACAAAAATTGTAAAAAAAAAAAAGATAAATATTAAAAAATAAAGAAAAAAATACCTAGATCAAAGTTTGATCTAGTTCAGTGCCAGGGTAAGTGTTTAGGTCAAGGTCAAAAGTCAGGGTCAAAGGTCAGTGTGTTTTAGGTAAAAAACAAAATGCGCACTATTTTTTCTGGGCTGCACTTCGGGTAAAAACAACAAATAACATACACATATATGGTTTTGCTGCGACCGTCAAGAGCTAGGAAATGTATTTTGGGTTGTTCTTTGGTGGTAGGTTATGGTAGTAACAAGAAACACACAGCTAAATTACAAAAATTTTTTTTTTTTTTTTTACTATTTTGGGCCAGTTTTCCTTCGATAATAAAATAAAATAATCAAGAGATATCCATTATCATCAAATGAAAACCCAATTTGTCCTGATAAAAACCGCGGTATAATCCACCTGGATGTACAAAGTAGTTGTGATGATATGTACGGTTTTACTAACACATGTCAAAGTTGCAAAAAACTTTGCTTGGGCATTAAGATTTGTTTTACCTTTAGGCATGAAGGGGTTAAGATGTTTTCATAGTTTGTTTTGTTTGTTAGTTTGCATTAAAAAAAATTTTTCTTTTTATTAAAAAACAAAAAAAAAAAAACAGCCAGATGATCATCTTATGTATTCGAGGGGTCTGATTGTCATCTGAGTCTATGGCTAACCTAATGAAGTTAGCTACCTGATCCACTTTCTTTGGTTGGCCATTGGAAGCATTAAGGCTAGACATGTACATAAACATTTCTCTGATTCATGCCTGTGGGCTGAATGAGAGAAATCGAATAGGTTCCTCAATCAAAAGCATAGATGGAGGAATCCCTCCTGCCAGCTATAGTGTTCTGGCAGCGTGCACCGACACCTGGCAGAATACCCGCGACTGGATCTGGTTGGATGCAGTCACTATTAGGCCAACAATTTTCCAACTGGCTCCTTCAAGAAAAGTTGATTGGATACGTGGTGCCTAAAGGGCCACCCGTGGCTCAAATTTGGGCCTATTCAGTCAGAATAGAATATTCAAACCACATACGGCCGGCCAGTTTAACAGACTACCCAGCTTACAAGACCATTTTAGCCTGCCCCCTATATATAACGGCTTGGTTACCAACACTATAATATAAGCCCCCCCTGCATCCATATCACGAATATTACATACCCTGCACACAAACCACTAACAGCTCCACTCATAGCTGCCTGTGTAAACTTCAAAGACTCCTTATGATCTTACCTAAAGACTTGTAATGTCTTCCTAATGTAATCTCCTTCTAAAAGCAGAACAGAGGGGCTCCAGGATTTCCTGGAAAGCGAACACTGAAACTATCCACACCGAGATTTTGTCACTACTTCTAGATTGTGCCTGAATTTGAGAAAATGGATGACTGATGAAAATATACATAATCACGCAGTGCCAAGAGTGAATGTCTGATACAAATCCCTGGCTTGAGTAGGCCAGCTCCTATTACCGACTCGCCTGTGTATGCAGAGGTAAAGCAAAAGTGCAAAAGTTCTTTAGACTCCTGATTAAAGCGGAGTTCCACCTGAAAAAAATAAAAAAAAGGCAGCAGTTACAAAAACTGTAGCTGCTGACTTTTAAAATACAGACACTTACCTGTCCCTCGGTCCGGCGGTGTCCTCACCACCATTGAGGACTTTTAAAATACAGACACTTACCTGTCCCTCGGTCCGGCGGTGTCCTCACCACCACCGGCTGTCTTCTCTCCCCGGAGCCAGCATCGTCAGTGTGGGTATCCTGCTGTGACAGCTTGTGGCTTCACATCC